GCCTCTAGTGAGATCACCTTCTTCTGAATTCGATAACAATCGCATCAAAATTTTGCAGCGACGCACTGACGTCTTCGTGGAGTTGCTTGAAAACGGAACCATCGGAAGCGTCAAGGTAGACTCTGCGCAGGGTGACGCTCTGATCCGGGTCCTGGACACCTGTGTAATAAAACTCGAGGGGGGCACGGACGAAGACCTCAAGGTGCTCGACGAAAAGCCAAAGGAGGTACAGGTTTATGAGCGAAAACAGGACCCCGTTCCTGTCAAGGCGGAGGATGAAATCAAAAGTCCCAAGAATGAAACTGAAAAGGAGTCATCGCCAGTGGTTGTGTCCCCTCAGCGAAAAGACTCCAAGCCTATTAACTTTGGTGACGAGAATTGGGATGAGGAAGAGGCAGCTGCGCCAAAGATGGACGTGGAGCAAGAGCCAAAGGCCTCAGAGGCAATCAGCGAAGATAAGTCACGCAGAAAGAAGACCGCCAAGCGTAAGCGTGCTAATAGCGGCGACGATACCTCCTCGGAGTCTGACTCTAGTTCTAGTTCCGAAGATGAAGACGAGGAGAAGCTGAAGAAGAAATATGACGTTGAGGACGGCCTGAGGAGCGATCAGAAGGCTGAAGCTGAAAAAGAAAAGGAAAAAGAAAAAGAAGCCCAAGATGCTAAAGAGAATCAGGCCCCGCAGAGTCCTAAAGAGGGCATTGAAAACTCGGCCGAAGAAGTCAAAGCCCCAGAATCCATTGAGACGCATTCTGAGGGGGCTGAGCAAGAAAAGCCCGAAATAGCGGAAGAGGGGAATAGGCCGAAGCCGGATAAGGAAAATGGTGATACAATCACAACAGAGGATGGAGAGACTAAGTCCGATTCGGAGGAAAACAAAGTAACTCAGACCGAGACCATTGACTTGGATAAGGTTAAGGATGGTCAGCCCAGGGCCCTACATCGCACCTCTTCCATTTTCCTTCGAAACCTGGCCCCTTCCATAACCAAGGCAGAAATTGAAGCCGTCTGCACCCGGTTCAGTGGGTACCTAAGGGTTGCAATCGCTGATCCTTTAGTGGAGCGTCGTTGGTATCGCCGCGGTTGGATTACGTTTGCCAGAGACGTAAACATAAAAGAGATTTGTTGGAGTCTGAACAACCAGCGCCTACGTGATTGCGAAATGGGGGCTATTGTCAATCGCGACCTAAGCCGCCGGGTGCGACCTGCTAATGGTATTACTGCCCACAAGCAAGTGGTGCGGTCCGACATTAAACTATGCGCTAAGATTATCCTAAACTTGGACGAACGGTTTAGGCTGTGGGCAGAATCACCTTCAGACGATGCCAATCCTTCCGATAGAGCGGGCGAGTCCTCGGCGAATGGCAACACCTCAACATACGGTATAAACTCCAAAAACCCGGTGCTGCACAACATTACCGACTACCTTATCGAAGAAGCTTCCGCCGAGGAGGAAGAGCTGTTGGGCCTAACCGGCGAGAACAAGGACGCCGAAGGCGAACCCATTGAACGTGACGAGCATCTTCTGGCCGTACTGGACCGTCTGGTCCTCTACCTGAGAATCGTTCATTCTGTGGACTACTACAATCACTGCGAGTACCCATATGAGGACGAGATGCCGAATCGTTGCGGTATTATACATGCACGCGGCCCGGCTCCATCGCGGGTGACCAGCAACGATATACACGAGTATGTGAAAACATACGAGAGCAAGTTGACGCAATTTCTTACCAAGACGGTGCTGCTCAGCGATGAGGAGACCAAGGATCTGGGAGCGAAGGACGCCGAAACCGAGGTGGAGAAGTTTGTGCAGGCCAACACCCAGGAATTGGCAAAGGATAAGTGGTTGTGCCCTCTGTCCGGAAAGAAGTTCAAGGGTCCTGAGTTCATACGCAAGCACATCTTCAACAAACACGAGGAGAAGGTTGACGAAGTCCGCAAGGAGGTGCAGTACTTCAACAACTACCTTCGGGATCCCAAGCGTCCGCAGCTACCGGAACATCCTGGCAGTTCCAAGCGGACGGAGTCTGAATCCGGACGCGGCGGTGGCTCAGGGTTAGTAAAGCTTAAACTAAAAACTTAAAAGTATTGCTGATTGTAACGTGTTTCTTTTTGTTTCAGTTACCGCCCGCCCATGTATCCGCCCTTCTCCGGCATGCCCTATGGCTTTGGTCCATCCATGATGGGTGGAGGCCGCGGCGGACGCACTTTCCCGCCCGTGCGCAGGTTAGTACATTGAAAGATTACAGTTGATTTAGAGTAGAATCTTACTTATTTGACAGAGGATTTTCATTCGCATTTCCCTCAATCGATCGCATTGAGCAATGTCTTTGTCCACAAACTATTTGCATTTAGGCGCCCCTCTTTCTTCATCTCTACTTTGTTTCTTTTCTGTTCGTCTAAACCGAAATTTGTCACAACTTTCTTGTGTCGCAAATTTTTTGCAGAGAATTGCCTTTGGAACACCAGCGTCGGCTTATCGGTTACCACGATTTGGATGCGCCCGCCAATTCCGATATGTTTGATTAATTTTGTAGCACAATAAAAATGAAAAACACGGGGCGGGCCCACTCGATGCCCCTTCATCGTTGGGCGAACCCCAGTTTTAAAAGCAATTCAAGTACCAACCGAATAACCAAATTCAAAAATGGTTTTAAATCGACAAGAGATATTCGTTTTCTCGTACAATATTACACTGTATTAAGAATCCGACAAAGTGACTTTGCTAATTTTATATTTTCCTGAAATAAATGCGAATCTATAGTCTAAAAACTGTAACTGTAACATTTTGTATACAAATCCTGCCTAGCTTTGCGTGAATAATTCCAAAATATAAATTCATTTTCGTTGCTTACAGACCCGGTGGTTTTGATTATCGACCCAGATCACACTACCGGGACTTGGATGCGCCGCAAGAACCGTACTAGCAATAGTCGTGCGCAGATCACAAACTAAATAAATTTTATTTATCAAAATAATTCAAACAATCACACTAATTTTAATAACGGACGCCTGTTTTGTACGGTACACTTTGTATTTCCCGAAAAAATGAGAAATAAAGTTCGAATGGAGCCGAATCGTTTTAATGAGGTCTAGTTACTTATTACTTTTAAAAATATTTAATGTATTAAGATAGCTGTCGAGCAACTACGATTTTGGTCTAAGTAACAATGTTATTTAGGAAGCATAAAAAGGTAAGATATCTACTTAAATCGCTTTCACGCTTGGTACCATGCATATTTATGTATAATAAAAATTTTAATGAATTACATAGAAATGATACCAAAAACACAAGAGGAAATTTTAATTTAGGGAAGGGCATGAATGAATATGGAAATATGTGACGCCAAAGTCTTTTTAAAGTCAACGTGTTTTTCCAAACGTCAACTTTTGAAGTTTTTTTGTGAGTCAGTCACTTTGAAGAACCTTTTGACCATTAAGGTTGCATAGCAAAAACTTTCATATGTTTGGCTACATTCGGGAGATCCGAAGCTAAAACCAACTGGTCATACTCAAAAGCTTGTAAAGTTTAAAATTAAAAATCAAATAGTCATTTTCAACTTCAAATTACTGAAAAAAACCATAAGCTGATCAATATTTTGCCATTAATAGTAATCAGTTTGGTTTTTACTACGTGTTGAAATCTTAAAAGTTGTTGTGTCTTCGTAGTTATTCGTTAAAGTAAATCGTCTTAACAGGGGAAATGTTCATAGAAATCTCCTTTTTAAAAAAGTAGAGAAAGTGAGGTCCAACCTTGAAACCTTTTGTACGTCGTAGAGTAATTATTTTTTTTCGATTGGATACTTTTTTTTGGAATTTTGAGTTTATAGCTCATAACTTCAAATTCAACAACTCGTAATTGTTTGCAGTATGGAAGTCAGTGAAGACTCAAGCAACCAAGGAGAAAGAAATTATTGATTTATTTAAAAATAAAACTTTTGCCAATATATCAAAGAAAAAAATAAAAGCTTTTGAGTTATATGAATATGCTAATTGGCGATCAATTACAAAGGTATTTCAAAGCATACATTCAGATTGGCCGTATGTAGAACCGTACGAACCGTATGTATTGGTTCTAAGGAGAAGACATTCAATAGGAAGCCCTACAGGAATACCTGTAATAATAGGAATACCCTACATTGGAATATCCAGAAGGACTCAAAGAAACTGAAACTGGTTTCTGAAGGAGGTTTGTTTGTTAATTAAATCACAAGTTTGTTAATTCACGCAGCATGCATGGCCGCACGAAAACCTGGTGAGCAAAATATTACTGCATTAAAGCGATATTTTCTTCCTGTGGGGTATTTTGGATAGGAGGGAGCTGAAGCCCAAAACACGCTCTATAAATCAGATCTAATCAGACCAAATTGATATTCTTTAATGTTTTCCGTCGAGCAATGGATACATCAGATCTGATATTTTTGTCATTTAACCTAGAAAGAAATCCCCCAGCCAAATCATATAGCACTATCTCTTAAAGTCTCTGGGATCCACGCGTTTATACGGACAGACGGACATGGCTATATCGACTTGGGGTCGTATAATATTTTTATTGTTGTCTGGCTTGATTACTTTTCCTGATATACCCGTGCAGCTATGACCGAATATGAAACACAAATATCGGATATAGTTGGCCGATCCTTATATGAATTACATTATACATAGTAAACCAAATTTATTAGAATATAAAATTAAAAAAAAGGTTCCAAGCTTCCATAAGAGGCCGTCCATATATTGCGTGACGCGAATTTCAGACTTTTTGACCCCCTCCCCCCCTGCGTGACAAATGATGACACGAGGTTAGAACCCTGTGACCACAAACCGTGACGTTAACCGCGGACCCGATGAAGGCACTTAAACTATATCCTGAAAATCCGTTGCCTTTTTAGGTGGTTTTTAAAATAAAAAAATTGTCATGCTCAATTGATTTATTTAAAAATATTTCTACCTTTTTTTAGGACTAGTTTTTTAAACAGTATTAGAATAAAGAAAAAATAAATAAATTAAGCTTGCAGATTGGCTTGTCTTGTGTGCATCAACTGTGGGTGCTCCCGCAGTAATTCTTGGTGACGGCGCAGATTCTTCATGATTCCAGGTAGGTGCCAACCATGTCTCAAGAGACTATCGCTAATATCGAAGTGGGAGTGACGCACGCAGCGGATTTGGGCACAATGTGCTACTGTTCGCAATTCTAGGGCCATATCGTGGACCAGGGCAGCAAGGTACTCTTCAGTCTCGTTGATAGCATGTAGCTCAAGGGTAAAAAGTGGGCGTTCAAAGTGAATCAAATTGATTCCATATATCACTGGATGAGTGTTATCCGCTGGGCGAATGAGCCCTTTACATGCAAGCTCATAAGCTGCTTGTGTTTGCAAATCAACACCACAGAGCTCGTACATTTTCCTTTGGTGCGATGCCTGCATCGATGAAGCTAGCCCACTTATTCTTTCCGCAGAGACATGTCGGAAATTGGAACGCACCGTAATGTGGGAGTCTGGCAGGTGATTCTCAGTTGCGGTGCCCATGCGACCGGTTATATGGTAGACGCGTACAGGTCTGGTTCCTTTAATGCAGCTGGCTTTACCAGTGCCCTTGTTGATACCGAAAACTGAAAAGGCTTCTGTTAAACATGCTTTAATTTTTTGTTAAGTACACTCACGCAGAACGCCACTGGTGTGGTCTCCCAAAGGTGCTACCGTGGAAATACGCACATCGCTCGGCGTGTAGTGCGGCCCAGAGGATAAGATGTGATCGGAGAGATCCGGAGTGCTGGCTATTTTGTGGAGTACGTCATCCCCTGCTGTTCCTGTGCCAAGTAGATGAGGTTTGCTGGGCAGTTCTCGGAGATCCCGCTGTTCCATGCTGTTTAGACCTGCAATATCCTGAATTAATTTAGCGCAAATATGTACATAATAGGATTCTTTGTGTTACCTTTGCAAATGTTGCTTAAAATGGCATTGCGAACGTGTTTTACTTTCATTCCAGCCGGCTTATATACGTTTAAGATTCCGTTCAAGTGCCTGAACACTGTTGCGGCGTCATACACCTTTGTAAGGGTCATTTATAAGGCTTAAATTAATTGTTATAGAACAATAGTTTGTTTTTTTAACTGAAACTCAGCTGAGTTGCGAGCCTCGCCAGCCCTGGTATGCTGCTGAGAATGATTATTATTTTTGTCGTTTTGTGATACGGTCACTCTTTGGCGCTGCACGTGTAAAATTTGTTTTTTCTGGATGTTAGTTTGATTGTTTGACAAAGAGAAAAAAGACAAAAAAAACGGCATCCTTACGATGAAGTGGACAACTGCGAATGTAAAGCACCCAAACTACACAGCGAAACATGAACTCTACGTTGGCACTCACACAGGATCCTTTAAGCGTAAGTTTGTTGTCGAATCTTTCTCAGCTGAGCAATCATTAGCTCTATGTTTCAGATCTTACGCCAGCATCGGAGAAGACGCCTCACGGGCAGACTAACCTCTGCCAACTGAGTACGCTGGACAAAGAGTCCCGCGTCACATCGCTGGCATTTGGGGACGATACTCAAACGGAGATTCTGCTGGGCCGAGCTAAAGGTGCAGTAGAGCTGCATTACTTAGGAGAAGAAAACACTTCTAGCACAGTTAATTTTAGCTGTGGTCCCATCGTCGGCTTGGCGCGGTATAATAACAAACTAATTGCCGGAATCGGCAACGGAACGATCCAAAGCTTAGAACCGGACTCTGCAACTGAACCAGTGACCATAACCGTGGGAACACAGATCGATCACCTGCGACAGTGCCAGCAGGCAAGAAGCATTGTGGCCACCGGTGGCAAGGAACGGCAGAATAACCTAAAGGTCTACGACTTGAGTGCTGATGGCAAGCAGATATTTACATCAAAGAATTTGCCTAATGACTACCTGCAATTGGAGGTGCCCGTCTGGGACAGTGATATAGGCTTCGTCGATGGGCCCAGTGTTCTGGCCACCTGCTCTCGGACTGGATATGTGCGTCTTTATGACACACGCAAACAACGCCGCCCCGTGGCGTGCTTTTCCAGCGAAGAACATGGGATGAGTTTCGCTGCATTAGTAGCGCGGGGAAATTTCATTTACACTGGAACTACGATGGGCGCTTTAAAGGCCTACGACACGCGGCGCATGAAGACTCACGTTCACACGTACAAGGGATTTACAGGCGGAATCAGTGATCTTCATCTGGACGAAACAGGCCGGTTCTTGAGCTCGGCCTCTTTGGATCGATACGTGCGCATTCATGACGCTGATTCCACAGTGCTTCTCTATCAGTGCTATGTCAAATCAAAGGCCACCAAGGTTCTCATTCGCCGCTTGGAGGACGAAGAAGAAGCGTGCGTTGTCGGTGAAGACGACGGGAAGCCGGTGGTGAATGAAAGTTTAAAGCAAAAGACGGTCACTAAGTCAACACCTGTGGATGACGAGTACGAGGACATGTTTGAACAGATGCCAGTTGTAGGGTAGGTACTTCAGATGAAACATAAATATCTGGTCTAACAAAAACTACTTTTCAGAAATAGTGACGACGATTCTGAAAAGGAGGAGGTGGACAACGAACCAACAAAGAACACAAAACAAAAACGGAAGGCTGCCAAACAAAGTTCCAAAACGAAGAAGAAAAAGTTGTAATGTGGTTTATGCTTCTTTAATATCATCTTTGTTAAGTAGCTTAGTAATAAACAAAAAAGTTAAGCATACATCCAGAGCTTATGAGTTGACCTATTGCCAAGCCTGTCGTGGCAACTGAGCCTTTTGATGCTGATAGTTGAGGTATAGCCGATAGGTGCAGTAGTAGAAGAACTCAACCACGGATATCATGCTCAAGCCCAAGCAGAGATTAAAAATGCCGCCCAGGTCCGCTGAGAACGTTTGATAAAAAATACATAGTCATGGAGACGGAAGCGTAGGTAACTTACATAGCAGTCCGACCCAAGACATCACTGTGACTTTTCGGATAACCGGGACGACTTGTTTCGCCAGGTAGACCCGGAGCACGAAGCTGTCATTGTTAAGCAGTTCCGGCGAGCTAATACGGAAATGATTAACCAAGGAATTGTCAATGAAGTTTACTCACTAAAAGCGGCTAACGGAAAACTGGTGCTGGTTAAGGTCCGTCCTATACGAGAGAGTGGAATATGTTACGTCGTAGCAATTGGGTAAACACTGGTCGCAGCGAACACTCTTGAAATTGTCTTTGGAAATTAAAGATTCAGATTTATTTGTTTTTTGTGTCTTAAAGAATGTATCTATTTAGTGAAAAGAAAGAGTTGTTCTTGCCCCCCATGAATGAACATGGAAAGGAACTACAGTACTTTTGGTATTATATTAAGGTTATGCAAGTTTCCCTTTAGGGACTGGTGTTCGGTGCATCTGCAGCCATTTTGTTGCATGATATTTGCTAAATGGCTTAGCTCTTTAAACCGTTGTATTATGTGACCAAAAGAACTCCACAACGGGTGGTGAGCGCGTTTAAGCCACGGAATATGAAGCACGGTCCGGAGCACGTGAGTATTCTGAATATTTAATATAAATTATGAAACATGAGCGGGCATAACAGGCGATGACTCTTGCTCCCCCAAATCCGTACGACCACCCGCCCACTCAGAAAACCGCAGGCACCGCATCATCTGGTTTATGAAAGGCATGGAAAGTTCGACTCTGTGGTTGGTGCATGAGGGAGGCATGCTTGATTATGTTTTGCGTGGGCGACAATGTGTCGCAAGGAAGCCTTAAGTGCTTTCGTCACTCACCATAGTTCTCCGAGTAGCAGAAGGTGTCATTAAGATTGCACTCCTTAAACTTGTTGCCTACAATAGGTAGGAGGTAGGGGTGGCAGCCGCACTTCTGCACGATGGCGTCTGTCTGGCACGCCAGCAGGCAGGCGGCTTGACGGTAGTTACGCAGCCGCAGATCGTCCGAAATCAGACAGTCCCGCTTCCGTTCCGACAGCTCGAGCACTTCCGCCGAGGAGCTCTGCACCGTTGGCGACACCTCCACAAAGCTTTCCGACCTGGCGGTGATCGTTACGGACGCTGCCGACTCGGTGACATAGTCCATTGGATGGTGCACCAGCACGATGAGACCAGTATTGAGGTTCCTCTCGCTACCCTCGGCTCCCACGAAAGTTAGTCCCCCATCCATGCCAAAAATATTGGCGGAGAAGGGCACGAAGCTGGCGTTTCGCGGGTTGTAGTTGAAGGAGCAGCAGGGCCCGAGGTAGGCTGTCGTGGGTATGAACGATAGGTATTCATGGCTCTGGTTGCACTGGAACTCGGAGTGGCCCCAGAAGCAGCGCTTCACGTAGTCAGAGCATCCCGGGCTGACAGCCATGGCCGCCTCCCAGGTGGACACGTTGTTCAGCCGCAAAACGGTGTCTGTCACGCGGAAGCTCTCGTGGGGAGGCGGCTCAAAGCTCTGATCCGTGAATGCATTTAGGAACTCAAAGCCGGCAGCCACCTCTGCTATATCATACTCTTTGGGTATCTGGCTGGAAAGAAAGAGTTTGGTGGCGTTTTCCTTGCGGTATTGGTGGTGACTTACAGCGTTCTCACGTACCGCTCCACCCTCTCTGTGTTGACAACCTTAGGACTGCAAATGGTCACGCCCGGAAAGGCCACGTCCGTGATAGAAAGGTCGTTGGAAATCGTGTTCAGTATGGGGTAGGAGTAGAACTTCAGCCACAGCAACAGGGTTAGGTAGATACTCAGCAAGAGGAGCTGCAGCAGCACCGATGACCAGATGAATCTGGACAAGCCACGGGTGCGGTTCCGTCGCAGAAGCCACATGCCGCTCACCTTGGTCCGCTCCGTGTATTCCCAAAATGTGTAAAGGATAGCTGACTTGAGCAGACCTGGTGCCTCTATTCTGAGGGTCCTGTCAGGGCCGCCACCGGACGGTGTTTTCTTTCCACGACACTTTTCGGTTTCTATCATTGTACACTTTTGTGAAGCGGTAGCTTATAGGACTGGCTTTTATAGGACTCTGTCCTTAATGTTATAAGTTTAGCGGTAATTATGGGCAATAAGGTCATTAATATGTCCGCATTAAAACACTGTTTGCATTAATGATGGCTGCGATGGAATGACGAACCAATCATAAAACTATATTAGAATATTCGTTTGTCTGACTATACAGACTTTACATATGTATGTATATATAAAATGTAATACTCGAAATATAATTATTTTTGAAAGAAAGGTTATTATTTTCCCCACAAAGAAAATCTTGAATCGTCTGTACATATATAGGGAAAAGAATCACCACGACCCATTATTTTACTCCATTTGGCCTATCCATTTTTTGCACGTTTTTCTGAAGAACAAAGGCATTCTTTAAAAACGTAACCTTTTCGACAGGAAGGACACTTCTGTGCTTTAGTTTTACTGAAAAACTATCTGACAGCAAGACTCTGGGAGCTGGTCACGTCCTCCGCTTCTTAGGGACGAAGTTTTTTGGGTTTAAATTTTCTGAAAGTAAATTAAAAAAAAATGTTTTAATTCTCACTTGCTGAAAGCCTTTGCCTTTAAGTTGGAATATACATTCTGGAGAAGGGAGGACTTAAATTAGATAAACTTTCACTAAAACAAGAAAATAATAATATTAATATTGTGTAGCCATATACTAACAAGGTATAATTATTTAATGGTTTAGAGCTTAACGTGGATAAAAATAAGAAATGGCAAATTCACAGTATTAGGAAAACAAATTTGTTTTGTTTTTTATTAAAAAAACAAAAAATAAACGAAGGGCTGTTTGTTAGATACTTTAAAATGTTTCTGGATGCATTTTATATTTTAGTTATTTATACATTTTTTATTTTTGTAAAATCGTTTTATTTTTCGAAGCTATAAACTGCAAGGGTATTGGAACTTCGGCATTGCCGAAATCAGGTTTCCCTTTATTGATAAAAGGAAATTAGCTTAGGTTTCCTCCGGAGTAATTTAAACCCCATAAATGCTTATACCTCATTCCAAAAATGGAGCTACTTACAGATACTAGGCAACGACTATTAAGGAGGCTTAATTCGATTTTTCCTTGATGAATAGTGACCTTGTAATTCATTTTCCTTATTGGATCAAGAGACATTTTTCTGGCTTTCCCATTCAGTCAAGTTTGGAGAGGGGTAACTTCGTCCTACGGTTGAAATTAGCTTTCATTAATTTAGGAAGGGAAGCCGTCTCTAAATTTTGGGACGAAAACTTTTAATTCCTCTTTCCAACTTAGAGTCGAGCTGTTTAAAGAACAGATACCAAGCAGCCAGCCTCGAAGGCTTTTATCGGGAGCACGCGCTTCCCATATTTGGGGCCAGTAGATAAGACACATACATGCTTTCCTTAAAATATGTACCTTCATATACTTAACCCCCTCGGAGCCCCTTGGTCACGAATGATGATACGGAATTACCTCAGAATAAACTGCCACGATTGTGGGCTATTCGTGGGGCGTGGCTCCGCCCTCTGTTTCTGTTGATTGAAAACTGAAAGCCAGAGAAAAATACGCGGCACAAACTTGTCTCACGGGAGAGAGGTTTTCCCTGGCTCCGGAATCCGGATGAAATTTTAATTTTGGCATTTCGCCCGGCAGGCGTGAGCTCGCACATTTGAGTTTTCGCGGCTTTCTGGTAGTTTTTCCAGGCGACTCAAAACTTTTCCTTGCCAAAAAATAATTCGACTCTGAAAGTTGACTCTTTGACAACCGGCGGTGTTTGAAAATGTTTTCCAGAGCAGTGATATTTTTAAAGTGAAACGAAAGTTTGTGCTTTGCTGCAAAATTCCATTAGACAAAAACATTTTAAATGGAGTTACAGCCGTTCGTAACGACCAAGGGCCAGTGTGGTGCAAATATTTGAAATGGTCATCACCCAAAGGGCATTTGTTTATTCAGCATTTGCTAAACTAAGTCCTTGATAAGGCTCAAACTACGGTTTCGGGGGTCGAGGTACCGGACTATGGGACAAATGATAAGCCAACAACGAATCAATCAAATCAACCACGCAAAAGGCTTCACTCGATAAAAAGAGGGCCGAAGGCGGCTATTTGCTTGTTTGGCCAGCACTTGGCCATGTCCGGGCTCCTGAGCCTTCGTCTTGGTGGTGTCAGCTACCGCGGACACAAAACAAGTTGCGCATTTATTTGCATACACATCGAATGTTGAAAGGCACGACCAGTCTCATTACGCCCTGAACACAATGGAAAGTAGCCATAACCGTAAAGACAGTAAGCCATTTCTGATTCTGCTTGTGGCCTGGTCCTTGCGCCGACTCTGGCTACGGCTGAGAGTTTCCCAGAGTTCCTGGCCGAGATTTATATCATTTGGGCGACTGTCCGGCCATTCCTTTGGCGGGTAAGAAACAAAGGACTCCCTGGAACATGCATGTCGGAAATTGCGTCGAGAAGAAATTGAAAGGGATGCTGAAACTGCGAATGCGGCTTCTCGGGGTCAATTCGCTGGCAACATTTAAATTGGAGGCCCAATCCTCTCTCAGTGCGTGTCAGAAGAGCCGATCAAATAGTTTGCATATTGGGTGCCATAAGCAAATATATAAGGTCCTAAACCCGTCTTCTGGGTCCTCTCAAAAACGATTTACTTGGCAACAGTGGAAGCACTTGCAAGCCCATTTCGCAAACGGTGGGCTGTGAGCCAACTTTCCGAGTTCGAAATCAATTTAGCGGAATTCAGCCAGGGCAAAATCTGTGAGCTAAAGTTCCGTGGGCCGTGGGCAGACCGTGAATATTTGTGTTATTTTCAAAGCGTCCCAAAACTTGTGTAAGTGTCACATGTGCTCTGGGCCAGGCAATCGAGGACTGTCGACTGCCTGGCACTTTTTGTTTTCGGCCAATTGATTTTTAATGGCTTTATGCTCCCACTTTGCTGTTGAAAAAACAAACGCGGATTCAAGAGCCCTATACAAATTTCTGGCGTTGCCGACAAAAGGGTCGCGAAATATTAAAATTACTTTTGGCCGACTTAAAAAAATCCTCTTACCCCAGCTTTAGCACAGTCCTTCGTTATTTTGGGCTTTTCTGGCATTCTGGAAAGTCTTTTAGCAAATACCGAGACAAATAAGTCAACACTATACTATGTAGTAATATTATGCTACCAGTGAATCTAAGGTAGAGTGAGAATGCCTCCCTCGAATAATTTCTTTCTATTGGATTGTCAATAACGCAACTGGTGCTTCAACACCTTTATTACTCATTTATTTCCACAAACTCATTAAATAGGCAATTTTTTCAACTTAATCAAGAACAAAAGTCGGCTAGTTATCGAATATATGTACATTTATGAAGTTACATGAGGATCCAATATGTAAGGGATTTAATATATGGGATTCAATAGGTAAGCCGTTTGAGTGAGATGGGTGATTTTATTTAAACGTATGTATGTGGCAACTAGCTCTGTGTTCCTTAGAAGGAAAATTCCATCAATTTAAATTCATCCCTTTGCCCTATTGCCTTTGTGTGTTTGCTCAAATTTGTTTCAGTTTACCCCACAACTCGTGTAGAATACGCACGGTATACGCTTTTTGGGCCTACAAGCGTTACGTTACACGTAATATTGCGTCTGTAATATTCCGCAGTGCCGTCTATTTCCACTGCCTTTCAAAATGCCCTCCCCTCCTGGGAGCCCTGGCCAAACGACTTCTATTGATTTCATTTTAACGATGGATGCTGCTGCTTCCCACAAATAAATTAAATTCGGCAGTGAGTTTAGAACAGGGGTTCTCAACTGAGCCTAGACCGACTTTAATCAAAAATTTATAATATAATTGCCATGATGAGAGAGTTTCAATGAATGGAGCAAATAATCATGCTCAATGTTTTTTTTAATCTGCAACTCGAAACATGTAATTTTAAACATCACGAGAGGGAATGCCCTTCATCCGGAAACATAAACTTGAGCTGGAAAAATGTGTCCTGCTGAAAGTACGAAATAGACAGAACTGCGGGGCGGAATACGAGGCACCAGTATCATACCATGGTATGATTCCGAAGAGGTCATGTCTTTACTTTAACTTGGTTAGTGTGGGTTAAAAATGAACGCGCCTAAGAAAGGATTAACGTCAAAATGGTTCGTCTAAGCTTTTTAGCAGAATATAACTAAAACAAATTGTAAATTCTTAGTGTTTCTGTTAACAAACTCTTTCCTATAGTTTTGCCTGACCAAGTACCCTTTTCGGGAGAAAAGGATATGGGAGGGGTATAAGCAGTAACGGGTGCAATAAAGAAACTCAAAACAGTCGTCCTTGTTTTTCTATACCAATGTATGTCGACATATTTGATTATTGCCAATGTAAACATTATCTTTAAAACATCTTGCAATAAAGTTAAGTTGAGGGTCTTCAGCTTATTCAATACAATGACTTTTACTTTGAAAGTTTCAGTTATAAAAACATAATATTGTGGGGCAGCTGCTTGAAATACATAAAAAAAAACAATTTTGTTCCCAAAAACTATATGTTCAGGACAGTAATACTACGTGACCGTGGGTACTAAAAAAAATCAACCAAAAATAAAATGAATTTTTTTTACTACCATAACAGCTTGATTGAATTTAAAAGCTTGTTTAAAAAATTTGGAAAAATGGTTTAATGGTGGACTAATATGGTTGAAACAAGCAAATCTCTTTAATGGGGAGAAAAGGACCTTTGCAGATACCGCATAAGTCACATTAGTTTTTTAGATTTCCTAGGCCGCAGTAATGGTCACAGAGATAAAAATAATGTTAACGCATTTTTTGTTCTCTAGAGCTGGGCCTAAACGAAAAGGGAAAGGGCTAAAGACTGCCCTTAGCCGCCACAATAATAATAGCGTGTTTGGCCAACATGAAAGAGAAAAGAGCCAACAAGCAGAACCTTCTGTTTTTCCGGAGGCATTCAGCATAATGAGGACTTATGAATACGTGAACAAGTGCCTGGGGTGACTGTCTACATAGGTGACGAAAACAATCGCAAGTAATCGAGTATTACTTTTTATTTTACTTAAAATATAAGATCTAAAATGGGATAAAAAATCAATATTATATGGCTATAGTCTTATAATAATATATAGAGCTATAGGCTATTGTCCCCCTTCTTTATTGACTTTATGATATAGATCTCTTCTTTTCTTTTCTTTTTAACAACACTTTTACAACACTTTTAAATATATTCATAGGCTAATATTTGTTTTCTAATTATAATTTTAACTTTAATATAGATGGCATTAAAAATTGTTGAGAATCGTTTCTGAAAAGGTGCATGTGTTTTAATCCTCTTTCTATTTATTACCCTCATCAGATAGAGAACTTATTCGTCACAAATATTAATTCGCATTACGGGAACTTCGTGAAAAGATTAGTGCCAAGAAGACGGTGGTGATGTGACTCCAGATAGGAGATGCTTGTGCGTGAGCATTTTGCCCACTAATTGTTAGTTATTACCGTACTGTCGATGCCATAAAGGATGTGCTCATTTGACCCTGTCAATAAATCACTTAGTAGCACTTTTGGGCCATTTCTTAACGGTTCCCTACTCGATAATCCCGGTGCAAAGGCCTCGCATTCCTCGATGATTCCAGTTTTTTGCATTTTGCGAGCAGACCTTTTTCCTCCCAAAAATTCTTTTAGGCTTCCTTTAACCAACTTTCTCCTGAACTGGTGGGTTTTCTCCCATTACAGAATCAAAGCCTAAAGGGTTGCCGAAAGGAAAAATTGGGACGGAAAAGGTACTTTGGAAATGAGAACTAAATGAAATTTCATAGATACTACTTATGTTAAGGTTAATTTTCATGCAAAGCTTTATGGTAGCTCTTCCCACGTATTCATGTTAACTTGAATGTTAATTACCTCTACGTTTGTGTAACTACAATTGCAAACTTTCAAACATCCGGATGACCGTTGGGTCGGCCAAGCTTTAAGCGCCCAACGAAGTTCTGACCCCAATTAGGAAATTGTGGGGGACATCAGTGGCTGAATCAAAACCCATTAGCCCCGAATCAGCTTCATTTGCGGTGAAAGCCATACCTACCTTTGGACGAGGGCAAATAAGTTACACGTCATACGTCGGATGCCCTTTGGCTCCTGATGAGGTTTTGGCCAAATTCGATGCGTTTGCCCCGTCGGTCCCAAAATTTTTCTTTGTCCGGACTCGCAATTATCTACTTGGATGCGATTTGGTGATTTAGAGGGTCGATAGGTCGACAGTCCTGCCAGTTCCGCGAAGGGACAGCTCCAATTGCTATCCCAGGCCCCAGCCCGGGGTCAGATGGGATCGCTTTGCGTTTGAGGCCCCCATTTATTGGATGCCAATAACTATTGACTCTTGGGACAGTTGTGGGGCTTATTGTGAGCTGTGGGGTACAGGGTGGGAGTTTGCTCAGATAATGCGTGCAGTGTTTGGCCAATTTGCATACACCAACTCCTGTGGCTATGTGGCCTGTGGCCTCCTGATTGGCATGCCATAATGAAAATTTGCGAGTGTTTGGGGCCAGATTGTATTTATTGTCTTTCTGGCCTCATCCTGTCGATTTCCTTTGTCTGCATAACAAAATTACTTGGGCCGTGTGAAAGTGGGATTCGGTGTTGTGGGAGTTGCCTTTGTTATATTTTCCGACCCAAACTTCAAAGCCATTTTACGATTTGGCCAAGATAAGGAAGGTCCGCCTCATGTTGCCAAATAAATTGGTGATATCGGCCAACTTTGTTGGACGCTATTTATACGAGTTTTACGGACATGTCCCTAATGTGGAAATTGTTTTAAAAATTTCAAATTCAAACCTTTTATTTACCTTGCCTTTCGGAAGAATTTGATATTGAGCACGCCTGGCATTCGAGCATCCTGCCAATGCATAGATTTTATCTCTGCAGTATTAATTTATTCACCGAAAATATTATAAATTGTGTGTTGCAACCAAAAACTAGAGTGGTATGCAACCGTTCCATACTTTTCGGGCTGCTTAGTTTAACAGGATAAAGGTCTGGAAGGACAAAGTTGAACCTTTCCAAATATATAAACACAAAACCAGTTTACGCAAATTTTGCAGCTTTATTTTGCAACACAATGGTCTCCCAATTTAGTAGGGTTAACTTTTTAATTTACAATTTTGATAGCAATCTTATACAAAATTAAGGACGATGAGTAGATGATTATGTGCTTGGAGGCCTCCTTGAAGCTCACATTGGGCTTGCCCTTAGTAGCGCAAGCGGTTGCTTTCGAAGCGATTGATGCTGAAATCGGGGAACAGACAATGTTACTTGTATTTCTTAATATCGGATATCCACACGGATACTTTAAATGTTAGTTTCCAGCCTGTGAAAGCACGCTTACCAGACGCAACTCTGAAAGTGCACTGCATTGATTACAACATCCAGACCATTTACACTTATGGAATCCATTTATTTACAGAATTGTATGCTACAAGTTAATCCTATTGATATTTACGGAGAGTGTATACTCAATAATTAGCAGGGACTGGGTCTGTGTATGTGTAGTGCGGGCCTGGCTCGTTAAATACAATTTTATTGATAGGCCAGGTAGTTGCGAGTTACATTTAATGTGCTGGGTGACTTACCTAATTAACACATCACATATAGTACGACTAAAGTAGGGAATATAGTAGGATAACGATAACACTGCATAAAATATATACTAGTACGCAATAGGTTCTGTTTCAAACTTTATACAAATTTATAGGCTTAGAGTTAGTAAAATGCTATTGATACGGCTAGTCCCTCCGGCGGCTGCCGCACTTGGGATGCACCCATCCGCTTTATCCAGGGAATGGGTGGGGATAGAGGTGGCTGGGGACGGAAAGGGTGAGGTAAGGGAAGCGATTTTAAATTAGCCGGCAATTGCCGAGCGCTGTGCTATGGGTGCTCAGGGAACGGGGTTGCGTGCCAACACAAAGTGAGATCAATGGCCTATTGTTTTCGCTCAGAGCTGCTCATCTGCCTGAAGGGACACCTCTACGTCCTCCTCCTCCAACAGCTCCACAATCAGCGTGCCTCACCTCTTCTCGCCCACGGCCGCCGCACGTCCCGAGGAAGGACCTCCAGTGGCACCCACTCCTGCTCCTCCCAGAGTGCCTCCTGCCGCCCCGTGGCCGTTGCTGTGCTGCATTGGCATAGAGTCCCCGCCGTGGAAGCTGGCCCCCCGCCCAGCCGAAAGCCCCGAGCCCCCTCCACCTCCGTGATTGCTGTTCCGATGCATCGAGGCCCGCAGATTGCCGCCTGCCCCGCCCACATAGGTGGAGCGGCGCATGGACATTACGCTAGTGTTGTCCATAATTCCGGTAGCCGTAGAGTGCTGCCGCAGGTGAGGCTGGCGCTTGACGCAGAAGCAGCAGAGGTAGCGGTTGAAGTGTTGCCGGAACACTCCAGATACGCAGTAAAGAGCCACGGGGTTGACGCAAGAATTGAGGAAGCTGCAAATTGAAAACACAGGACCAAAGATGGGTTAGTACCAATCAAGGACGGGAAGTTGAATTGTAAACGGGGCATGAAAAGAGCCCCTAAAGCCGCACGGCATCCCGCCTCCAAGAGAATGCCATGAATAAGTTTCTAGCTTTTTATACCCTTGCAGAGGGTATTATAATTTTGTCCAAAAGTGTGCAACGCAGTGAAGGAGACATCTACGACCCTATAAAGTATATATATTCTTGATCAGGATCACCTCCTGAGTTGATATGAGCATGTCCGTCTGTCCGTCTGTCCGTCTGTCCGTCTGTCTGTCTGTCTGTTTCTACGCAAACTAGTCTCTCAGTTTTAAAGCTATCGTCTTGAAACTTTGCACACACCCTTCTTTCCTTTGCACGCAGTATATAAGTCGGAACGGCCCGGATCGGCCGACTATATCCTATAGCTGCCATATAACTGATTGATCGGAAATGGTATAACTTTGGTATTTTTAGAGTTAGAGAGTTCAAATTTTAGGTGAGATTTTTGGCAAAATAATACGACATGCCAAATTTCATAAGGATCGGCCGACTATATCCTATAGCTGTCATATAACTGAACGATCGGAAATGACCCAACTTTCGTGTTTTTGAAGATAGAAAGCTGGAATTTAGTACAGACTCTATTTTTGGTCAGTTGATCCAACCTACCAAATTTCATTAGGATCGGCCGACTATATCCTATAGCTGCCATATAACTGAACGATCGGAAATGGTATTTGGTAGAAATATCAACTTTCGTATTTTTGAAGATAGAAGCTTGGGACTTTTTTTAGATTTTGTATTGTAATAAATTGGAGTATATATTCCTATTCCCATAAGGATCGGCCAACTATATCCGATGTTTGCGATACATATCCGGTTTTAACTGCAAGGGTATATAAACTTCGGCTCCGCCCGAAGTTAGCTTTCCTTTCTTGTTTTAAACTACATTTACACACTATTTAATGTAGAGTATTTTAAATAATTCTTTGTAATTTTTTTCCTGATCTTGGCTTTAAAAAATAAAACACTAGGGTTGGAAATCGAGAGTTAAAGAACTGACTCTAGTTCCGCCAACTCGGGGGAATATGCAAATAGCTTTTGCCCCTGATGCTGGGCAGAAAATTATGTCACCAAATTGCTGACACATTATTTTCAGAGTTTTACTTCGCTAAGTGCCGCACAAAATGGATGGGGGATGGGGCTGAAAGTTGGGGGCTGTCAACAAAAATAAATGTACTATTAAAGTGGGGTGGACATAATTTGTTTCAATTAAAAATTATGCTAAAGGCAGTGCCCGCTGCGCTGTAGTAAAATAGTTTTCTGGAAAACTTTAAAGACAGTCCTCGAGACCTTCATCTGCATTTTGCATTCTGCACCCTGACGTCCGGGACTCTTACCCCATTTTTCTTGCATTCCCCCGGCATGTGTGTGACTGAAGGCGAGTCTAGCCATAAATTGTGACCCCCTCGAGGAATGCTTGGATTGCCACTGTGTGGAGGGGATCAGCCAAGACAAATGTCTCTCGAAGAAGTGAGTCGCCAAAAGTGCTGACTTTTCCGGCAACTGGAAAACTGGGTTACTGTTCGGGGAGACTCACCTCGTACAGAATCCCACGATGCGCAGCACGTTCCAAAACTCATCGAAGTCCTCCTCGGCTGTGGGATAGAAGTGGTACCACAGCTCGAACACGTGGTACGGGAAGAAGCAAATGAAGAATACTGCAAGTCGTTACCAGGGTAATTAGAGAGGGAGAAGAATATCCGGGAACCAAAGCTTACCCACAACAAAGGCTACCACCATGCGTGCCACGTGGCGGCGAGCCCGGGCCTGGGAGCGACTCTGCATGCTCTGCTGCTCCCCTGGCATGTCCCGGGCGCTGATGTGGAGCCGCTTGGCCATCATTATGTAGAGTGCACCGATGATAGACAGCGGTAGTAGGTAATAGATCGAGGCCTTGGCCGCCACCATGTATCTGGAAGAGAGCAGGGAGTCTCAAATAGGGATTGGAACAAAGGAGGCACTTTCTCGAACTTTCTTTGAAATTCCATTTTTATGCGGTCATCTGAGTGAAGGACATTAAGTTATGGGAATGAAGAAGCAAAAGCTTTTGGCTTACAAACATTTTATCCCAAAATTGAGGCTCTTAATGGGACCGAAACACATGCCACCAAATGGCATAAATATAAAGCATGTTGGCATGCTATAAATGAAAAATTTGCAACCAGTTGAGTGGCGCCTGCCGCAGCCAGGATACGTCCACCCCCTTTCATTACAGACAGATTATGTGGCAACAGCTGACGCCAGCCGCACGAAAGGATTAATTTACAACTTGCGTCTCAGCCCAGGCTTGGCAAACCCAATGAGGAAGGAATTAAGTCCGACTGGCCGGTACTGGGGCAGCACGGCAGCAGGTGAAAATGGCTGCATCATGTGGCACAAGATAAAATATGGAAGACACAAGATACAAGTGCTTTAATGATTAATGTCATCTTATGAGATGCGAAAAACCTTTAAAAGGCGACATCTTGCTGAAATGAGTTGCGGCTTTGTTCGCCAGACCTTAAAAGGAGGATAAACTTACTTCGCGTACTCCGGGTCGCGAAAGGGATCGCACACTTCGATGCTCATATTTCCGTTGGGCGTGAGCACGGTGTAAGACTTGATGTTGGAGACCAGGAACGACGGCATACCCAGAAGGATGGCCAGGACCCAAATCATCGCGGCGGTGAAGACTGTAAGCGGCTTTGTCTGTGGGATGGGATTTGTAAGAAGTGACCACGCGAAATCTCGGCGCACCTGCCACTCACCTGGAGCTTGCGCAGCGGATTCACGATGGCGCAGTACCTTTCGCCGGACAGGGCAGTGAGGGTAAAGACCGACACTCCGATGGAGATATCCTTGAAGAACTCGCTGATGCGGCACATGTTCCTTTCAAAGGGCCAGCTCTCCTGCGTGTACACAATAGTTGCTACGGGCACGCAAACCAAAATCACCAGCAGATCAGCCAGAGCCAGGGACAGTATGTAGCTGCAACCAGAACACAGTCAGGCTTAGTTTCCAACACATATTTCTCCGGCAAGGGTCTCCCGTCTCTGATTTTCTGGCAGCTCGTCCGAAAACAGAATGCCTTTGTGCTTGTCCGGTTGACCCTTTGACAGGGGTCCCAGACTCTCAGCACCCCCACACGACGCTTCAACGCCTGCAGAGTTTTCGGAAAAAATGCTTCACAAGTCAAATGAATAATGGTTCGATTGGAGAGCTTGTACACAGAAATCCAGGAGTGCCGGGCAGACTCATATATACTCATCATATACTCTTGCAGATCAAAGACATTAGATGCCCTCACGCCACATAGGCAGTCGCCCTGTTCCCCATTTACTAACAATATTTTGGAAATAAACATAAGTGTTTGGAAAACATGGATGGCCTCTGAACAGTGTAAAAACATGTTCAAGAGTGAAAAAATGAAGAGCATTTCATTCGTTATCCGACATTTCCAAGCTATTATTTGTGTTCAATGTCCTCGATGTTCAACGTTCAAATAAAGTGTATAAGAATGGTAGCTCTTTGGGTCACTTGCACAAGTTGCGTGGGTGGTTTGGGTAAAGGGCATTCCCATGAATTCGCGACAAATCGGCTTGACATTGACATTAAAGGCCTCATGTGAATCAGTGGGCAAGGAGCGACCCCGAAGCATTAGCTTGGTGATTCGTTCCCGAATCCTGACACCTTCCGCTCCTCCTTGTCTAGACCCGTTGGCGACAAAGGCGACTCAAACGAACTGCAAACTTTGTCCCGACAACAGCACAATTACGAATGTAATCACAATTACTACAAAAATTACTGCCCATTGATTGCAGTTTGTCAAGTCGAGTGTGCAGAGAGCGGCAATTTGGGCAATCAGCAGCAAATTATGACCACCTGCAGTTCTCTGCCTTCACAAATTGCAGAGCCCCCCAGGATCCGACAGTTGCAACGTTTTCGGGAACTGTACAGAAAGGGCGCTCATCCTGCTCCCCTGCCGTCAAAGCCGTCCTGAAACTTTTGATTGAATCATATTTGAATTTATTCGAATTTCGCTTGTGTTTCTGTTTCTGTACAAGTTTCCCCAAGTTTGAAACTTCATAAACATTTGCATGCCGGCGGCCCTTGCCGACAGCTGCTGACTGCTCCCAGTTGTGGCTTTGAAAAAGGGCTGAAACCTAAAGAGGCTCAGGGCTCTGAGGGCTGGGTGCAAAATCGAATTTACCTTGTCCGACGGCGACTTGTCAGGAACATGCTACCAAGTTTATACAAAACACAAGAAGCCAAAATCTGGTAACTTGGCCAACACGGAACAAGTGAGTTGTAGCCTGGCAGCTGTGGGTCAAGCAGCGATCATGTCGCCCTCTCCGATTAAAGTTGGCTAACTATTTAAATAACTGAATTGGTATTCCGAAATGGCAGGCGACAGATTGTTCGACACACTTTTGGGAGGTTTCTAAGATGCTCGAGGTATCCATCCCTAGAAGTTCTCATTTACTTTCGGAGCGATGGGAGATGCGTGTTGTCGGGGCAATAATAAAATAAAATGCAGCTCATAAGTCGGCTCATGAATTTTGAGTGGCAGTTTAAGCCGTCTGTGGCTGTAATGCTGGGCCATATAAAGCCATTATTATTTATGGGACGAGGCCAGCCTAAGGCTGTCAAGGACTTTGGTTTGGCCCCCTCCGACTTCGGATGTATCCCGAAGCCGCGACATATCCACTTACGTGTTGGGGATGTTGCGCATCGACCGGTGGCGGAAGAAGATAATGACCAGCGTTCCGTTGCCCAGCACGCCCACGATGAAGATGAGCGTGTACAGAACGGTGACGATGTATGTCTCCGGGCGCTCCAGAACTGGCACATATGGGCCACCTCCGCCGTCGGCGCTGGCGTTGTGCTGCCCCAGACCCAGGACCCCTCCCACTGCCGTGGCGGCCCCCTGTTGTCCTGTTGCTAGGCCAAGACTGCTGTCATTGCCGCCGCCATCACTGCCGTTCCCGCTCCCGATGCTGATGATGTTGGGGGATACTCCGCCAGTGGCGTCAGGGGGGGCATACAGCAGGCTGAGAGCCAGCGTCTGGCTCATGTCCATGAGGGCGCTCATGTTTCGTTTGAATGTCTCTGATCGAGCGGTGCTTAGCTTTTTACGGCCTCGCTGTGGCCACTTCCGGTTGTGGGGTTGGCTGGTTTGTGCTTTTGCTCGCCTACTTGCAGGTCCGGCAAGGGGGGGCCGAAGAGGTTGCCACAGCGTGGTGTTTTATTCTGCACATTGTGTTGGGTCCAAACCACAGAGCTTGCTTCGGTGGTTGCCGTTTGACTTTCGCCAGCTGTCGCCGGAGGCTGTGGGGAGAGACAGACACAAGAGAGGGGTTAGACAGCGGTTTAAACTACTTTAATAGGATGCGAAATGTTAGTCAGATACGACGGCTTATCTGGGCTGGCAGACAAGCGAATGTACTACCTATGAATGTCGTAAATATTACGCATACTCTGCGTGTGCATCGGGCGCGGGAGTGCGAATAGAATTTATGATTCAGCAGCTGAGGCCGACTGCCGTTCGAGTGCGTCTGTCGGTGGATACATGTATCTGCATAATAAAGAATATCCTTTACATGCAATCGTTGACCGTGCTGGCATTACACAACAATTTACAGCGCCCATAAACATAAATTGCGAGAGATTTCGAACAGCCCTCCATCCAGCGTCCAATTATTCCTTCCCGCCCTATTACCCCCAATGGCTTCGATTATCTTTCACGCTCACTCAGACCGCACTTTCAATCTTGGTCCCTTCAAACACCTCCTGCCCGCCACCCTGCCTTGCCCAGGCATTCCCTGCCAGGGAACTAATACAAAATCATTCGTGCAGAAGCAAATATTTTCAAATCGCAATCAAACGCATTTATCCCCAAACCGGAGTAGAGGCTTAGCCGGAAGATGACACGCAGAATGGCTTTGTGATCCGGGATCCAAGCTCTTGGCTCCTGGCTGCTGACTCCCGGCTCCGGGTTTCCCGGCGAGTTTATCTCGGCTCCCTACTTGAATGGCTGAGTTTTACTTTCTTACTCGCTGACGCTCCCCAGTCAGCTTCAATTTCAATTTGATAGTAGATTGCCCCTGGCATCGTCTCCATTTGGCTGGTTCCCATTGATTTTGCTTTTCTTATTTATTTATTTTTATTGTGGGCAATGCGACTGATGCGAGCTTTCTTGCGCCGATTGAAATGCCATTGAGTTCCGTATCGGAAGACTATTTCTGGGAAATCTAATCAACTAGTTTGGCTCACACTGCCTCCCGCCGATGCCAATGCACTGCTGACATAAAATTAAATATTTATCGGAGAACATCTTGAAAATGTTTGCTCCCAGAACCGGTGAAGCAGCGTCTCAAATCGTTGAATGCCTCTCCTGCAAATCCAATGAGCCATTAGGTCGAAATTCCAAAAACAATTCGGTAAATCGGCAACCTCTCGCTCATGCTAGGGGGACTAGGGGCTAGCGCGTCGTACTTACAGATATCAAAACTTTTGACTAATTATCGCAAAGTTCAGGCATCCTTGCAAAATAATTTTGCAAAAACAAATTCTTACTAAAATAGCGCAAAAATGAGTAATTTTGTTGCCGATGCACAGGTATTACAATGATCAACATCTCGTGTTTTCCACCTAAGGGGGTTGACGCCGGTCATTAAAGTCATCACAAAAAGTGTTTAATCCAAACTTGACTCACTTGACCCCCAGACAGGTGACCTTTTACGTCAATGGTTTGACAATTTCTTTAATAACCTGTAAAATTGTACAATTGGCTCAGTCAGGTATTATTTTATTTGGAAATTCAAGAAGCTAATACTTTTTTGCGAGGATAATGGTAATGAGATAATGAGTTTTGCTTCTCTCGTGTTTTTAGATCTTCTTTCCGAGCGTATACTGTACTTTGCAGCTTCTTTTCATCTCTTGGAGTCAATTATTTATTTCGGTAAAAAAGCTGTCAGCGAACTCCAACGAACACTTCAAAAAGTAAACTTATTTCGCCGTTTTTATGACTAGCCGGAAAACTTTTTGATTTTTTCGTTAGAGGGGAATGTGATAAGGTGGTCGCCCACTATAACAAACTACGGGAATAGGAAAGGCAGGACATTGCCACAGTATTCCCAGGGGCGCAGTGGAAGTCAATAGGCTATCGTCGAGGGAATCGGCCCAAAGAAAATGGTTAAACATCAACGCCTAGGGGCTGGAGAGAGGGCACAATACTGCTCCTTGACCCCAATCAATTGAATGGAATTTTATTTGTATGCTGGTAGCCATTAATTTCAGTCGGTTTTCTTAAAGTGTCGCCTTGTGCGAATGCTCTGGGGATGACTGTAAAACGCAGCCGTGGCGGCCATAAAAGGTGTTCTAATCGCTTGTCTGCGGAAAACATTTATTTATGATTTAGTCCTGTTATACGAGTTGACTCCAGAGGTCTTCCTTGTACGAAGAAAGTGGCGAAGTGCCGGCACCCCGTTGCCGTCCTTTGATCCCCCGCTGCGACTTACCGAGGAGTCAGATGAGGTCCTACGTGGCAGATAAATCATGCAACCAAATATAATTTAATACACTTGCGTGCCCTGGGTAGCTGCGGCAACGTGGCGTATGTGTAATGCGTTATGCGGAATGCGTAACGCGGCATGCTGGTTTATCATCCACCGTTTTTTCTGCGCAGTCAAGCCGAATAATAAACCTAGCTGAGGTGTTGACTTAAAGTCCTGCCAGGCAACTCTTTAAGGTTCAGGAATCAGGGTACACAAAAAAATGTACCTCTGGCGACGGGCGGTCCGCTCGCCTAAGGACAACTCATTATGCTTCACGCCGCTCTAATTAGACTCAAAAATATCTGATGAGCCCCAAGAAGGGACGCATCCCTTCGACGCCGACCCTGCCCATATTTAATGTGCGCTGAAAGACCCGCGAGCTATGCAAATATCCCTTTCCCCTTGAGCATGACAAAATTATGCGCCATCGCCCCCAACTGCTGCACTGTCAGCAACGATGGCGTAGGCGGGACGTGAGGGAGTCTCCTGGTCGCCTGGCCTGGGGCTTTGGCCATTAGTCATCACTGAAGATGATTGAACACAGCACCCTTTGGACCTGGGGAAAATTTCCAATCCGGCCTTCAGTAGGCCTGGAAAAAAGTGCTATATGGGCGAAGCGAGTCTAGGAATTGTTTACATACACTTTAAACTTCCTTTGATTTACTTGCATTTAATCCCCAGGAGAATTGATAAATCATCTACCAGAGTCCCATTATAAATTTTCAGTATGTCGAAGAGGGTGAGCATCGTCCTGCCGGACGAAATGCCGTCGAGGTCTGCAAGTAAAAAGGACCAGTCGAGGCAAGCCAGAAATTCCATGAAGAGCAATAGCCACGAAGAGCCCATAGTTTTTCTGGCGGTTAGCCAGGAGAGCAGCCCTTCTTCTTTACTTTCCAGCCAGAAGACCTCCAGCAACTTGAGTTTGCATGAGACGTCGGCGCATTTGCTTTCTTTGGAGAGTTTCGTATCTCCAGACCCTTCACCAAAAAGTACTAATTTGGCTAGCCCCAGGCCCTTGTCCACGGATCAAGCGCATAGTATGGATTCCTCCGTAAGCTCCATTAAGCAGTTTCTAAGGAACACTGTTGCCTTGGTCAGGGCGGGAGAGTCCTTCACCTCAGTAAAGCGTCTATTCTACAACTTTGTGAAAAGGAATGAAGACTCTACCTCCAATACAGTATCAAAGGAGTCTCCCACCGATGAAGGTAGGATGGTAGGATCCCAAGTCGCCAGGATGCCAATTCCCAACCACAAACATTCAACGAACACCTTTTTTTCCGACGTACCAACTGGTTTTACAGTGCCCAGTACTTCGCAGATGACCTCCAGCCCGCCGCATTCCGTCTTTTCCTTCAATCACACAAAATACGACTTTGCCAGCCTTATCTCCGATGTTACCCCCCTGACAGGGTACACACCAAATACAGCGCAGGCTTGGAGCACCGAAGATGCCGACTATCGAAGCGAAACCTCTCTGAAGACCAGTACTGCCCCGCGGGTCGGATTGTCTTCGTCCGTTGCACTCAGTTTGGGAACACATCGTTCCCTCAGTTCTTCAAATGCAGATGGGCTCTTCAGAGCTACGAGTGGAGGTCATTCAAGGCCCTCCCTGGCGGTAAATTCCACAGAGAGACCTAAGAGCTCTGTTTCAAAGCAGCGAGGTAGCAGAAATATAAAGAAACTCTTGAGTAAGTCGCCAAAGAGCTCCCCTCAGGCTGCGCCGCGAACAAGAATTCAATCGATAACGTCAACTGTCAATCCGGCCGCACCATCATTCACAATAGTTAGCGCCTCCAGACAATTAGAGGAACGCGAGGCCCAGAAGTTCATAAGCGGCAGCATCTTGAGCTCCGAAAGGCAGAATCTGAAAGTAGCCCCAAATGTAACTCCCAGAATGTCGGTCAGTCAGGTAATAAAGGAGTCGCAATCCAGCTCATCCCGCCTAGAAGGGACTAGGCGTTCTTCTCTGATCAATAACCATTCGTCGAGATCCGACTCCAATTCAAATAACGGCCAAAGGCAAAAAAAGTCAGTGAGGATAAGCGAGGACCCTGTCCGAGCGGCTGAGTTTGCCTTCACCTTAGTTAGTCCAGAGGAGGCGGAGCCTAGTCAGCCAACAGAAGGAAGTAGCAATCCAAAAAGTATAGAAGATGGCTCCAGTTGCGAGACATACAAGGAGGGTTGCAACTGCCATCACTGCCAGGACATGCGGCGGGCCGTGAAACGCGCCGAGTACTTCAACTCACCCCAGGGCCAAAAACAACTGGAGGCCAAGCTCCTGGCCAAAAACTTCTTCATGGACATCTGCGCGATGTCGATTGTGCGCGCGCAAATCCAGGACGACCTGTACGGTACCAGGAAATGTCCGCCTGCCCGGGTCAGCTATCCCGTGTGCATCTGCGGGGCCAACCGGCTGGACGCAGGCTCGCTGAGTCTGAACTGGTTCACCCACGACCTGAATAGTGTGGACCATTTTGACTTTTACGTAGACGACGTTCCGAGCCGGAGCGTCTACAACCTGCAGGCCAAGTGCACCGTCCTTGTAGACGTGGACGCCAAGAAGATACACAAACTGCGCATGCGCGCCGTTCCAGTTCGGGGCAGTGGCGCCCAAGCCACGCCGGTAGACAAGCTCATGTCGGAGGTGATCGCGGGACACATGCGGAACGTGACACAGGGCAAGCTTTTCGCCCGCTGCCTGAAGCACCTGGACACCCAGGTGCCGCAGCCTTCGCTGGTGGACTTCTGGACTGACAGCGAGTTCCTTTACATGCCCGCCTAGCTAGACAGGAGTAAATTTAAAGTCCGATTTATGCCTCATTGTTTGTATGTATTAAAGGAGGGATGCCTCGTGGCAACAGCTGCGTGGGTATTAATTGATAACATCTCGTTTGGAGTGGTGCTGACTAATCGTCGAACAAGAAAGTGGAACCACACCCGGCTCTCAGGCCGTGGAAGGCACCTGGCTCTGCCTCCTATTCCAGGGACTCCTGGGATGTCCAGGAAGCCGGCCATCAGTCAACCGGGGATGTAGACGGCTTCAGCTGTCGTCTTTATTTAAAAACTTATCGTAATCTGTGCAGGCGCCAGTTTCCAGTTCGCTTCCAAGCGGTTCGCGATGATGGAGCTTTCTGTTTTTATCGGGCGTCCACAGCCACCATTTGTTAGGAAAAAGAGAAATAAAGATGACTGGGGCTGAGTGGCCTGACGGGGCTGACGTAGGCGACTCACTCAGATGTCAGAGGTTTCGGCCACGATGTAGCATGATTAATTACTTGGCAAATATTTGAAATTCCTCATGCTCCCGCTCCCGCTCCCTGCGGCTGCTATGGAAATAATCTGACATGAATCGGAAAAAGAGAGGTGCACTCGCACATTTACGAGCACAGAGTGTTTTAATTAATTTTCACTTTTGTTCGACTGGCGGACATTCCGCCGGCCGTCTGACAGACAGCTGGGCCAAGCACTCCCCGGATACTCGGACCAGTGTTGGGTCCCCGGGGGAATGGGGCATTGCTTTTTTTCGCTCTTTGCGGCGCGTGATTGGCCTCCAAACAAATAGAACTGTGCTCTGCTAAGTTCCATGTTTCCATTATTTGAATAATTTTCAATTATCGCAAATATTTCCCACAGTCAGTAGTTCATTTGGCCAGACCCCGGGGCCCGGCCACTTCCTGCATGCTGCCAGGCTCGGGCGACGACTAACATTTTTTATAGTCGCATCTCGCAGTGTACTTTCAATTACTTTTTATGGTTATTATCGTGCCCACACTTCCCTCTCGGCGCGTTTTATGTGCTGCAAGCAGTTGGCCAAATATTTTAATTGATTTCATGTGGTCGATGCTAGCAATTTGGCTGCTGCTCCGGCTCATCTAAGCGTTGTGTAAATATTTGGATTTCCGGCAGACAATCTAGCTGAATTGTTTACGCCGAGCTGTTTATGGCAGAGCTCTTTGTAATCTTAATCTTACGAACCAGCCCTAAAATTGTTTGACACCTCACCACAACGTATGTACATCTTTTAAACCCCAATTAACTCACCCTTCAAACCTCAAAGGATCGCTGGTTGGGGTACTCAAAAATTCATTACAACTTGGCCCACTGTGACAACTTCGCCCCATGGGAGTCATGTGTTTCCAAATGGATTCGCCGCGGAGGATGAATCGAACACCATATCGGGATATTCCTTTCCAGCGCCTTCCTCACACATGGTTGGGCCGGTGGCATTGAAATGAATTTTCGCGATACTGTCTCATTCGCCACAATAGAAAGTAAAAATACACAAAAGAAGCCAAAGGCGTGGCAGGAGGAGGAATTCCAGGGAAATTATTGAAAAGGAGACTTGTTCGAGTGACAGAGACATGAGAGTAAACAAGAAAGGCAATAAGAAGGAGCAAGAAAATTCTGTCAAACCCATTCTTTTGGTACTTGGGGCTTTAGGACGTCTAAAGGACAATTTTGAGGAGTGCAGAGGCCCTTAATGTGATACGGTTCCATACTAGTTTAAGAAAGGACTCAAGCACCGGAACAACTTGTTGTCTAATTGTCTATAAATAGGTTTTGGCTTACACTCACGCGCTCGGAGGACCCGAATGAATCCAATTTGGTTAACCCAAATCAAATTAGGCTGCCGAAAAAAACGAACTTATGGAGATATAAAACCAATTTTCAAAACACTCCCTCCTGAAATTGAATGTGTCTTTTTATACAAGTTAATCATTTTCCGTTTTATTTGACTTTTTATTTTCATTTTCTGTTCCCTGGCTTTTGTCCTGTCAAGGAGAGTTCGCCCACAATATAAAAAACACAATATACCAATGCCTTTCTTTCACAGTTCCTTGAAATTATTTATGGCCCTTTGTGGTCCGTGTCCAGTCAACCTCAGCAGGCAGGTCACCCAGAGAACGATTTCATGATAAATGACTCCTGTTCATCTTCGAGTATGAAAGATGGGGTAACTTGTTTGCAAATCCCCTTCGGTCACTAAAGCGATAAAGGAATTTGGCCATACTTCTGGTTTAAGTCTCTAGAAACATGTAGTAATTTTAAATCTACACATATTTATCTGAATTACTTTCTGTCGATAATGATTGTTTACAATTGTCTTTTCGTTTACACTTTTATTCCGAGCCTTCATAGCTTAAAAGCAAGGTCTGAAAGAGTGTTTTCCAGTCCCCTAAGTCATCCTCAGGCTGGCCATCGAATTAGCATCACCATCTATCTTTAACTAGTTAATGCCGATGACACAAAGAACTTACAACACTGAAGACCTCCGGAATAAATCTCTTTTTTCCATAAATCATTCCTGCACTGTGTCCCTGAGATTTGTGAAGTTAAAAGCATTAGCGATGATCTCAGAGAATCCAGCTTGCACCGTGGGGTATTGGCTCTCATTTCCGTAGTAAGTAGATTCCCTTTGTTGCCCGTTTAAAAATTGTTAAAAGAAATATTAAATTTTTCCTTTATTTTTTATAAAATATAGTCACTTTTTTAAAGAAATATTTTCCTTTTTCTGTCTAATTTCTAGCTAATATTGTAAATGGTATAGCCAATGTATAGCCCATAAATATAATCATTTTAGCACACCTGCGATATCAAGAGTCTTTTTCAAGGTTTTTAACCTGGTTTGGTAATGGCGTCCCACGGTGAATTTATGATTGTTGAACACATTAAACGCCATATTGAAGTCGAAGCGAAGGGGAAATGCGTAATAACCTGTTCCCAGACAGGTGAGTCCTGTCGCAGGACAATAGAAAAGTGGCATCCTGTCACAAGTCGAATCAGGCACCACCACGACGTTGACAGGGTGAAGGACACGAAGGCCGCCGCAACTGGTATCCCTGCCATGCGTAGTGCCAGAAATTGATAGCTCGTCAGAAGGGATTTGGCCATGAGTAAGTTGGCCCCAGCGCCAGCTTTTCCTCCGACTGCTTATCATCCGTTGCCTTATTTAATTTCCTATTTATGTCACGCATTGCTCACCATCCGCACGGCTGACTGGAGTCGTAATCGAATTTCATTTCCCTGCAACACGCTGCAGCAAAGCGAACCCAGCGATTGACGCATCTGCCTTCGAGTCAAAAGACTTCGAAGGCGCTCCTAATGGTGTGATTCGACAGCTGGCGTAGAGGACTCGAGGCAGGAATGATGAAAACCCGCCATTGCGAAATGGATGAGCCAGGTGCCGGGCCGTTGCATATTCATGTGGTAAAAGGCCTCTCAACACCTCGCTATAATTATTCCCGACTCGGAATCTGAGCAGTAGAGCCCGGACGTGGCCACGATCCTTCAGTGCCATAAATATCCAGCTACGACATAAATCAGTTTAATATGGCAAATTAATTCCCCCGCACCTTCGGGGAGTCTGGGAAACTGGGAGAACGGAAAAGCTGAGGCCAGCAAGGGCTTTAAAGCTGTTCATAATTGGAGACTGTAATTGGAACTAGGGACAACAATCCGGGGGCTACTTAAATTTCAACTTGTCATTCAGTTTTATCGTCTTAAGTCCCGGATACGCGGATACTGTTGGCCGGCGGGTCCGGGAAAAACCCAATAAGAAGATTGGAATGCTGCCAACATTTAATGTTCCCATCAATAAATCAGTCGTCGAACGAATATTGGCTGGGCCGCATCTTTAGGCCAACAGGCAATAGAGGAGCGAATAAATGGATATTACACACATAAATATCAATTCGAGCACGGGCTGGCACATGCTCGGAAATGAAACATTATTTATTATTGCTCTCCTGATGAAAGATTGAAAATTGTCAAAAGTCAAACACACACCTGGCGAACTGGTGTTTTCATTTGCAGGCAATTAAACGGAAAAATAAATTTCGAATGTTAAATAAAGGAGCTACAGGCCCGTCGTCATGGTTGCCATGGCTTGCGCAAAAGCCAATGGAATTCGTTTAAACTAGTCTCGGGAATGAGAGCAACCTCGACCGCAGAGATGTCGGATTATGACGTGACATGAATCTGTTTACAGCTCCTGACATGACACAACAAACACCTACGTTAAGCTGCCTTTAAATTTTTTCGATTGAGTTTTTTGCTGCATCTCGTAATCCATCACAGCCACCAGAGTCCTGATCGGTTTATAGTTAACCACTTCATCGTCAAAGGACGTGCGTTATGTGCCGTCTGTCATCGGAGCGAATGCAAATAATCTGCAGCCACTGCGGCCGATGGCCTGCAACTGACAGTTGCCAGTGGCAGCTTTTAAAGTTTCCACCCACCATAGTGTTTTGTCAAACATGAGCAAGTTTTTCCAGTTCTCCCAGCTGCCCGGGCTATGGAATCCTATGAAAGTCAAGTGCAGGAGGATAGCAAATAGGGCCCTGCGGACACATTGCGTATACGCAGTGTGTGCGTCTGGCGCGCGTTTCAATTTTATTAACCGCAAAACTTTTTTGGCTCCCGAAAGGGATGGGTTGGGGGGTCCGCAAAAGGGTTGTAATAACCGGTTTGAGGGCGGTTACCTTACCACTTCGCTTGTAATACGTGGCTTTTGGAGGAGTCTTCTCATGACTGATGCAAGAGGGTACCAGCCAGTCGATTCTCTCCGCGTTCCTGCATATGCGCCCATGGATAGCAACTTTTTTGCGTTAAATAAGAGCCACTCTGTAGCTATAAAAAAAACAATTGAAGAGACAAAAGGAGCCATCGCAGGAAAACTGGCGAGTATAAGCACTAATGAGGTAAATTTGTTATTGCAGCTTCGGTCTTAAATATTTACGGCTGATTGTGAAGCTAATTAGCCATTCATCCTTTCAGTCATGGGATAACCCTGCCGCACCTTATGGGCCATCTCGAGAGTGACAAATTTGATCTGATCTGCGCTGATGGAGCCGCTACGTGCTGGGTGGCGGATGGGACTGATTTGATTGACTTATGCTAATTTTTGGGCCACCATCACCATCCGATCATTTGGAAAATCACTGCGCTGATGTGACACTGACAGGATGCGAATAGAGTCGGGCTGGGAAGGCGGGTCTAAGCCTACGAGGCGCCCTCTCGTTGGGTGTTTTCTCGCTTTTGAAGCTGCGTGCCAGCCACAAAGTTATGGAAACTTCCCGAGGATTAGCTTTAATGTTTCTCTGTCTCCATGTCAGGGGCCCAGACCACACGACGTTAATTAGATTCGAAGCCCCGCTGGCCTAATATCGGAAATTCTAGCGCACGGACGAACGCCTGAAGAGAGGTTTCAATATTTCCATGATGACCGTGTTCACTGACCGCGTCTGAGTTCTTCTTGCCCCATGAACCTCCTAAAGTAAATTATGCTATAATTATCTGGCCAGAACTGAGCTTGGAAACAAGAAAGTATAGTACAAAGGACAAATATAAAGTCCATGTCTGGTATCTTAACAAAAAGAATATTTATGCAGAATTAAATGAGAAAAAAACGCTTGCTTGGACTAATCACAAATGTACAACAATACCATAAAATAATTATACTAATCTGACCTTCCTTAAAAGTTTTCAAGTTAATTTTGTCAAACTTTCTGTACATTAAAATAAACTCTGTTGCTTTTCCCTCGACATAATTAAAAATTGCGTTTACATGTAGGTCTGAAGGGACTGAACTTTTACCCTTTTGTTATTTCTTATAAACAAAGTGAAAGGGGAACGATAAGGAGGAAAGTACAATGCGCTTACAGCAAAATTTAATTTAATAACTTCCCTTGTAATTAGACGATTGTAATTGAAAGATTTTTCTTTGGAGAAGACTTTCACTTTTTCACATTCTTTTCACACGTTTCCATATAAACAGCGCAAGAGAATAAGAAAAGTTGACTGAGCCAAAGCCAATAAATCCTTTTAAATATATTTAATCCTTATTGCATCACTCTAGAAGTTTTAGGCTTCTAATCTTAATACCTAATAACATACCAAAGTTATAGTATTTTCTTTGGAAAGCTATATTTCAAGGCGAGCCGCAAAACTTAAAGTTTAATAACTTAAAAAAAAAATGTTTTTCGATTGTAAATAAAACAAATTTTTAAAAATGGAAATCCAATTTTTTTAATTTTACTTATTTTGCTTACCATTTTTTGTCCCATTTTGGAAAAAAAATGTGAGCTTAAAATAATTGTGAAGTATTTTAAAACTAACAATTGACTGCACATACACCCAACTTTTCGCAATCCAATTACTCACCAGTCAGAGGGCTGAAAATAATGTAGCGACCCGGAGAACAGAGGGCTCTATATGCCAGACAATAGCAATTGTTCTCAAATTGTTATTTTTTTATAAATCAAAAGGCGAGCGCTGAGTGCCCCGTACAGACGTCTTCAAAAACACTTGCAGCAGCGGAAGCTGTTGATATGACTAATGTTAATTTGAATTATGCAAGTTTTCTTTGCGAATTTGGAATCCTAGCAATTCTGGTATTTTTGAATTTCCGTTTCAGAACTACCGACCGGCGGACAACGGAGACTGTGAGCGAGCGACCACGACCGGTTCTGGGGAATCCGTGCAAAGGACTAATTTGGCCAAGCTAGCGAAGCTCACGGCCTAGTCGGCGCTCGCACGAAATCCACACGTACACAAGGCTTTCAAAAAGCGCGGCAAACGCGCGTTCCACACTCGACAATGGCTTCCACCATGTGCGCGAGCTGGGACATGCGCATAGCCTATTATGTGGCCCACTGAGTATTTCATTCATGGGCGATTTTATTTCTTGGTCTGAATGGAAAATTAGGTTCGTTTCGGGCTGCTCAAAATGCTTTTAGCTTTTATTTATAGAGTCTATTTTGGTCATTGTTAAAAACGTATTTGAGACTGTCTGGAGTGTTCTTAGAACTGACGGCCTGTTCCTCCTACAGATGGCTTAAGTTATAAGGTCTAAACTGGAAAATACATGAATTCTTGGTACTTTTAAAGAATTTTGGTCTTACCTTAACCATCTTTTGTCTATTTCAATAGGTGGATATTAGGAACAGAATATCAAAGTTACAATAGACTTTGACAGCCTTATCGCTCCGAGGCCTAAAAGATCCAATCTTGTAGGTAAATAGAACCTGTGAGCTCCCTAGATACGTCAACACTCTGGGCTAATATACTTTGCAATCAATTATTAGCTAAGCTTGACAAATATGTACAGCTTTTCTGTAGATCATTGTGCAAGGAATGCGCCTGTTGACATTAGACATCTGGAAAATGGCATTACACTTAACTGGCTGCGGTGCTTGCAATATAAAAACCGGTAGACCTTCCCCGGACCTTGGAGAGCAAAACGAAGATCAGTGGAGATGATTGCCACCACAGTGTGTTTCTACCTGGTGCTGCTGGCCCTAATCATGATGTTCATGGCACCCTCTGCCGATGGTTGCTTCCTCCTGCTGGCATGCCTGCTGAGGTCCCCGCTGTGCCCCTTCAACACCACCTCATCAGGATGATTTTCAATGATAGCGATGTATCGTAGTTAAACCCCCTTTCCACACCGAATAAAATAGTATTTCAACTTAATTCCGTCAAGGCTCTTTGTGGCGGGGCCCAAAAGGTCTATATTGGGGGGCCAAAAATTGAACAGATAATTGTCAAGTCATTTGCACCCACTATTTCGCGGCGTAGGAGGTCTTGAGTCGACGATAGCTGCTGCTTAATTTGATTTCTACTTAGTCTAAATTCTAGCCCCGAACTTGTGGGCAAGAGATACTCTTTTCCACATGCTTTCTCTGCTCAAAGTATTTACAATTTCTTCCCACGTTGGCAAACGACCAAGAGCGGCCTTTAATTCGGCACGCTAAAATCCCATTACCCACATGCCACGTGTTGCACGCAACCGTTTTGCCAACTAAAGGCACCCACGCTCGCAGACGCTCAACCTGCACTACCTGACGTATGAGCGATATTTAATTAATTGCCATATTCCCGCTGTTTGTGCTCCGTAAATTTGAATTACAATTCCGACAAGTCAAACAGTGTCGGAAAGAAGGTGCTACGCCCCGGCTGCCCACCTCTTCGTAGGGGGTGCACACACGCGCCAAACTCTCCACCCGCAGACTCCTGTCTGCCAATGGAGTGACAAGACAAGCAAAAAGTCATTTGGGAACGCAACGGAAACTTTGACACGGCTTGCCGACGACAGCTTGCAACATTGTGGCGCCTCTTAGCAATTGCCGCAATTGCACGCCTTGGATTTTTACACCTCTTCAAACACTTAAAGTTGACTTAACATCGATTTGCTACCATTGTCCCCAAAATTGGAAAACCGAGCACGTTCCCGGGTATCCGGCGAGAAGTCAGGTCATAAGGTGCGACAACAAAAGTAAGTTTTTTGATTGGACCTAAATCGCTTGTCTATACTCTCGCAGTATGTCCTTTTACCACTATACTGTATTGATTCTTTGTTTCAAAGGCAAAGATTTAAAGTTCTTATCACTAATCACGGTGACATAACAATTAGGGTGCATTTTCTTTTCTATTTTAACCCGCAACGGTTATATTAGACCAGATTTCGGCAAACTTTTTGTTCCTTTTTCGTTATGATCGAACATCACATTAAAAAGTTCCGAGGTTGAAAAAGTTCTGTACTTTCTATTAAATTAAATTATTTCTATTAAATATTATCTTTAATAAAAATTAAAAGGGTTAGTAAGTTTCCAAGCCGAGCGATTTCTCAAGATAATGCATAAGGTAGCCGACATGCCCTATTGTTGACTTGAAGAATTAAATATAGTCTATTTATGCGGTGGGCATCCTTCCTCATTCATCCACAAAACCTTTGCCATTGTCTAACGTATTTCCTTGTATTGTATTAGGCCAGTTTAGTTTAATTTTATTCTTCCCCCGGTTGCTTCTTTTTATTTGTTTCCTTCTAAATGTAAATCATTTGTGGTTTGAATTCTATTTCTGTTGAGCTTTTCAAAAGAACGAATTTCTTTCTGGGCACCTTGGCCATTGTTTTCCATTGCCATTGTTGATTCCATTAATTTATTCCTCTCCCCATGCTAATTAAAAATCAATCGGCACGCGTTGGCGGCCCGTCCAGCTTCCTTGAAGGACAAATGAGAAAGTGGATGCGGCGCATATTGATTTTCGCTTTTTCCGTTTGCCGTTTTGTAAAAGTCCTGGGGTTGCCTCGTGTTTTGTAAATTAAATTTTCATTTACCATAGTGAGTGCCTTGTGTTTGTCTTGAATGGCGGGGTGCAGCCGAAAAATTCATTTGTTCCATTTAAGTCACATGGCTGTTTTACACATTTTTGGAGCTGCCCATCGTGTAATCTTAATTCCAAGTTCAAATGCGAATAAATTTGTTACGTTGGCTTACGTTGGCAGATGGTAATTTAAATGAAAATCCCTGTCTACTGGCGACTTTTTCATGAGGTAATGAACATAAGAACTGATTTTGGGTGGATGGTCTATGAAATTTAACAAAGTATGTATTTATTACGACCAAACAAACAATAACTTAAGGTTACACAGATGATAGCATTTTGTAAACGCAGTCCAGGCCTATATTTTAGCTTTCAATGACCTAAGCTTTTACATATTCGAGCTATGATTGAGGTAATTCAATGCGAAGATTCCCGATTTGAGCCATTTACTCTCATTGAGTGGCTGGGCAAATCCTTTATTGCGTCCGATTCCTTTCGGTGGCCAAGTTGGCCTCCCTGATTATGTAACCCGGACACGTAGTGCCAGCCCAGAAAGTGAAAGCCGCCGGCGAACGCGCTTTGCACTTAATTAGCGCCAGTGACTAATGACAAACTTTCCACTCTGCCAGCAAGTTCGGCTCTTACTTAAGCAGTTGACCAAGCGGAAACCAGAGCAAAGGGCAAGGAAGCAAGAAGGACTTCTGTTACAACCGGTGATGTATCGAGTTATGGCTTATACCGGGGCCGAATGTCAATTAAGTGGACTCAGAACGGTTTCCATTTATTTATAGTTCGGTCGTCAGGGGAAAATTAAGCAACAATTGTCGTCTAGTGACACAAACTTAAACTATTTTTAGGATGTCGTAGTTGTGGTTCTAAAAGGGCATATATCTAGGCGGAAGATGCAGGCCCACAGCAGGAAGGTCGATTTCACTGTCGGCACTAAATACAGCAGTAAGACGCTGACCAGAAGGAGGTAAAGCCGCAACACTGAAATATCCATGGTGGGAAACTTATGTGGACTACGACGCAGCTATGTTGCAGTTGTTATATGCGACGCCTATTTATAGTCAACTCCGCCATACTCATTTCTGTTTGACCAGTTGTGACCAGGTCGGTAGTCTTTGACCCGAATCCCAAGTGGTAAATAATTTTCCAGCTCAACGTCCACCCACTAAGCAACTCATCTTTAATTTTCACATGTTAATGCTGATCTAGAATGTATGTATTTAACATAATTTTTTTTTAATGTGCTTTGTTACAATGGATTTTCTGATACTCAATAAGAAACTGCTATAAAATTGAAAACTTGAAACCGTATTTAATTTGATAAAAAATAATTATGAAATTTTAATATTTTACAGAGGTTATCAATAAATGAATTAGGATCTTAAAAATCTGGCATTCTTCCACTTTCAGATGACACCTCAAACTAAATTTAAAATTATAGCAAATTATAGCAAATACATATATTTTATGGGATATGGGACGTGGCTTTCTTGGATTGCTGGACGACAAGGATATCAAATGACCTCCATCGAATGGCACACTATCGCCCTATAGTCTGGAAAAGAGAAAGGTGGCTTCATTGTCACAACCATAAAAGAGGCAAATCATTGAAAATCATTATTCACTGCGCCACGCTGTATCAGCTTTCCCTTCTCCGAAAAGCTGTCTAAACTTAATTACGCACACACATTCGCACATTTTCGCATTTGCAGCCATCGAAATGAAATTACTTTTGACTTCCGTCGGCCTGGGCGGGGAGGCGCGCGGACGGTTTTAATGCAAATTAGGCTACAAATTTGATCTGTCATTTCAAGTTTCCGATTAACTCGATGGCCCAAATTGAATTGCCCGACTGTGCATGGCATCAAATAAATGTCATTCGACGTTTAATTGGGGTGCGACCACTTAAATGTGGCTCCATGCATAATTAAATGGCTGGATTTTCACTTTTACTTTGTATGCTAATTAGAGTCATTAGGGTCAGAGGACAATGTTAGATTTGTTAAAAGATCTAGCGAAGAATGAGTATTGCCATTGGTTGCATATTTGTTTATATTGAACAATGCATCTTATGGATATACATTTAAATTTAAGTCGTGGCGTAGTTGAGTCCTATTACTCCTTCATTCTTCCCTTTAACCCTGTTAACTCTTCGAGCGAGCATATTTTTGCATTGGCCACGCGCCAGAAACGCTCATAAATAATGCATAGACTGTACGCCAAGCGCCATAAACAAGCTCTAGTCTGGGTCTCCGGTCTTGGCCTCCGGTTTGCCGGAATTGTGGGTGCTGTTTTTTTCTGACTTGCTGTTTTTTTCAGCAACAGCGACTTTGAATCCAACAGCAATTAAGCCCAAAATATTCACCACTAATGCTAATGCCAAGTGACAGTTGCTGTTGCAGCCAAATTATGCAAATTCAGGTTCTGTTGACGGGAAAACTCTTTTTCTCCGAGGTAAGAATGGTTTCGTTTACAAACGAAAATGAATAAAATTTAAATGCAATCAAATTTAAATAAAGCGTTTTATAAAATACAACTAGAACCTATATCTTATATTTTTCAAATAACTCCGAATTTTATTTTTATTAATCAGTGTTCCGACTATATTATACCCAGTTCTTATCTCTTCTACCTAAAATTTAACTAACCTTTATATTGTTTAAACTTTAATGGTTTGGATTCTCACCAACAAATTTTTGTTGCATACTTTTTCGCATGGGCAAAACAACAACTTCAGCCCCCCTGCGGCGGTACTATTGATTCAGTAGGCAAGCAGACTATAAAGTCTATAACTCCTCTAAAAATTATCCGATTGATAATTGGCTGCTTTGATTTTTGTTGGTGTAGATAAGCCATTTTGGCAGTGTTTGGAACAGTTTGGCATCAAAACATTTTCCAAAAACATAAAAGGAACAGGCTACTACCAGATATGTCCCTTGAGGGCGGGAGGGGGCGTGCGAAATTTTTGACCCAAACTTGATCTGCGCAGATACCATTCGATTCCAAGTTCCAAATCTGATAATTCTATCTCTAAAAGTCTTCGAAATCCACGGGCTTAAAAGTTTAGCCCGTTTATATGGGACAGGGTTAAACTCTGCATATGGGTATATCGCCCCATATATATTTGATTTCCAGATAGATATTTACTAAATAAATAGTTTGGCATCAAAAAAAAAAAAAAAAATTAAAACAAACTTGAACTGCGTTCTATGCCAAATCCTATATCTCTATCTCTTATATTTTCTGAGATCCAAGCCTTCATACGGACGGACAGACGGACATGGCTTATCGACTTGGCTGTTGATGCTGATCACGATAATGATCAGCATCATTATCGTGCATATTATCAGCATAATAAGGCTGAGACTTTTTTCAGCAGAGTCATGGTCGGGGGAGTGTTCAGAGTCAGTGAAGGAGGAATCCTCAGCGCAGACATAATGGCGGATTATGTGTCAGGCAATTCTCCTGCAAAGGCTCAGGTTCTAAACAGCGAAGTCATCACCGGGAGACAGCTCTAAGTAAAATTTAAAAATTACACAGTGCGACAGTGATTTGGAACTTTTGAAGAGACCTAGTAGGAATTGTTCATTAGATCGAGTATAGTATAAAACCATGTTTGAAATTTTTCATACACCCTCAAATCTTGATTTATTTCGAAAAAACGGTTTTTCAAAAGTGTATTGCTCTTAAAAAAATTTGAAAAAAAAAAATAGATCTTTAATTTATTTTACCAAAAAGGATACAATTTTTAGCAAGAAACTGACATTTTTGAATTTTTGTCGTGTTTTTCGAACTTTGACGACATTTTTTCGGTACAACTTCCAAGAAATGGTAAAAAATTTTGATACATATTAATATTGTCTCGTTAATTCTGAATAAAACGAGAACAATTTCATTTCGAAATTATGAAAATTGTTTAAGTTATAACGCTTTTCCCAAAACAAGTCAGTCCAATCTTCATAGCGTTTCGGAGCAATAGTGTGCCGTGCCATTTCCATAATCCCTTTCTTTTACACACTTTTACTCCGGAGCGCTAGTAAAATTGCACTGACTTGTTTTGGGAAAATCGTTATAACTTCAACAATTTTGAAATCGGTTTAAAATTACGCGCTTATTACCGTTTTTTCTAAATAAATCAAGATTTTGAGGGTGTATGAAAAATTTCAAACTTGGTTTTATACTATACTCGACCTAATGAACAATTCCTACTAGGTCTCTTCAAAAGTTCCTCCAACTTTTCTTTTTTTGTTGCACTGTGTTATTCCGTAATTTGGTTCAATATATGGTTCAGAGCTTTGAATAATTTCAAAAAAATAGTATTATTATTTATAAACGTATCAAGCTTGGGTCTAAATATTGACACGGCCCCAAAACGGATTCAAACAAGTTTTTTAAAAATTGATGCTAAACTATTTCATAGCGACAAAACAAGCAAGACCAAATCTTTACGGCTTACTTATATAAAAAAATACACATAAAAAGCTTTCGCAAAAATTCAAATAATGAACAGTAAACGATACGAATAGATAAATTACATTTTAAAGTGTTTAAAAAGTCTTCATAAAATTTTCGTTCTTGTCTTATAAAAAATTCGTTTTTTTTAAACGTCTTTAACTAATGGATATTCAGGAAATGCTCCTTACATCCTGTTTTAAAGGAACATTTTGCAATGTCGCTTAACTACCTATTTTAACTATAAATTAAGGGGAAAGGTATTGCAAGGCCGAATGAAATTTAAGACAAATTATGAATGAATAATATTATTCACAGAATGGCTAAAACTATTTAGTAAAAATATTATGAAAATTCATATTATTTGTAGAAAAACTTAATAAAAAACAAACATGCAAATAAACCAACAATTATAATCTGGTCTCTGTTAGTATTATTTTATAAATTTGTTCATGAAATCGATAAAATATAGTATATTTTAAATGGTAAGCTGCAGGCACACTTTACATCTGTACACATCGGTACGTAACAGCTGATATCTGATGCAACTTTAACCGGCCCGTTAGAAAATGCCTTCACCCACGGTCCATAATCAAGATCAGGACCCCGTGGAGTTAATGCTGAAAAAAACCGGCTGCATTGAGCTCCACTACAAGGTACAAGAGTGCATTGCAGAGACAGGTGATTGGCGAGCGTGTCAAGATAAGGTGAAGGAGTTCCGGACGTGTATGCAGAAGTACGTGGACCAGCAACATAAGAAGTATGCCGACGTCAAGTAGCATCCTGCAAAAGTTCCTCAGCAACAGTGTCGTCTTCGAAAAGTCCACAAAGTTGGCTCTTGTAGTGCGCGGAGACCTCAAAATGTCCAAGGGCAAAACAGCAGCCCAGTGCGCTCATGCGGCGATAATGTGTTATCAAAGTGCCTCCCAAGGCACCAAACAGCAAAACGCTATCCTGCAGCGCTGGTGCCGTTTAGGACAACCAAAGATAGTTCTCCGCGTGGACAATTTCGAGCAGCTCAGCGGCTTGGAACGGAAGGCACAAGAGGCTAACCTCGTGTCGGCATTGGTACGGGACGCAGGGCGCACGCAATTGGAATCTGGGACGGCCACAGTGCTGGGACTGGGACCGGCTTCAAATGACGAACTGGACAAGCTGGTGGCACACTTAAAACTTTTGTGAATTCATAGTTTACATTATACAACAATTAAAACAATAATTAATTAACAAACTGATTATTTTTGATTTAAGGACGCCGATTTTTTCCCCTTGGAAAATGTTGCAATTGTAAGTGAAACCGCCTGGCCAAACATTTCCACCAAATCAGAGGTAACTCGCTCTGTGATTTGACGCAACTTTCCGTTAGACTCGCCACAAATCAGGCGCTCAATGCGGGATGTCGGACATTCCACCTGAACGGAGGTGTATACAACATCTGCAACAAAATTAATTAGATCCCAACGTAGAACACACGTTAAAAAAAAACATACTTTTCTCCACGTTATAGTACTCAAGTTGGCACTTTAGGTGATAGGGAATTTCCTGGGGCAAGTAGTCCAAAAGCCGAGCTCGGACGCTTTCCACAATGAGCGCTTCGGGGTTAGAATCTGTGTAGACGTCAGGAGGGAATTTCCACTTCCTTAGCAGTGCCTGCCCCACCAGGTAATCTTGCAGTTCGTGCAAGCCACTACCTGTGATGGCCGAAACGAGAAAAACGTCGCTAAAATGGCTCCAGGTGGTGTTCCGCTTGTTAAGCCGCGTTTCTTCGGCTACGGTTGCTGGCGTATTCCGTTCTGCATCTTTACCAGACCCCTTTCCCGTTAGTGAATTATTGGTTAACGTCTTTATCAAATCCAGAAGCACCCTTTTCGACTTTAAAGCATCTATTTTGTTTAAAACGAGAAAGCTTGGTAAGTTCGCGTAGGCCTTTAGCGTATCTAGAACCGTAGGATGTAGCTCCTTCCTTGTCCACCCATTGGAAGCGTCGTGTATTACCGCAATGACATCGGCGTGCTGAATTGCGTGCCGATACGCACTCTTAAAGCTCTGCTCCAGATGGTGTTTTCGGATTTCCCGCTGGGTCACCAGGCCGGGCGTGTCGTAAAAGACGAGCTGCGTTTGACCATGAGTGCAGATAGCAGTATTCGATTGGCGAGTCGTATGGACCTTAGTGGACGTAGGGCACACCTTATGATTTACTATATGGTTAATAAAAGTGCTTTTGCCCACGTTTGGAACCCCAATCACTGCGATGTGGAGCGACCGCTCGGGTTTGCTCTTGCCACCTGAGTCCGCTGGAAGTGAACGTAATGTCTGTTCTACTCTGGTAGATATTTCAGGAGCGCCGGACAAATTTCGTGAGTTAATAAGGAATATCTTGCCATTTTTAGTAATATTTAGAACGTTTAAGGCCGTTGAAATCAAATTACACCGCATCTTGCGAAATATAATTTTGTCAGTGTTACCAGACACCATAAAGTAGCATATCTGGTATATTCCAACAATTTTGGAAAGCACTGGCTTAAGCCCCAGGAAACAGACTTAATGAAATAGCAGAAATATATCCTTTTCTATCAAAGTCTAAAAATATAAATTAATAAGTTTCAGTCCCGAAGCAATATCAGTTTTTGTCTTACAGTCGTTTCACATATTTACATTTCATACCTATTTTTTAAATAACACCCAATAAATTAAAAATTTATTTCGTCCATTTTTTAAGCAAACGAAATATGTCGTGTAAATTTATTATTAAAAAATTCAAATTATCAGTAGCTAAAAGAAAACATTAATAATTTAAACTTGCATAGGAAGATTTTGAATTTAACAGGAAATTTTTAATTTACATTGCCTTAAACTAAAATACCACGGAATACGATACAGGGAAAGACAGTTACCCTTTTCCAGAGCCGTTGTTACTGGACCAAAACTGTGTCATGCTCTTGGACAGAATAAAAGTCGAGGGTTTTAGCATTATTGTCCAGCGGAACTACCAGATCTGGATGCTTGGCATCTACATAAGATAGCTGTGGAACGTTACCGCTGAGTCGAAATCGCTTCATAACCAATCCCTGAAGCGTCTGTACGGTAATCATACGCGGTACTTTTTTCTCCCAAGTCTCTCCCGTCAATTGATAATTTATAAGGACCTTAATCAAATTCGATTGCTTGGCTGGAGCGATTGCCGCAAAGTCTGCCGGAGAGCCGTATTCTAAGGAAAAAACGGTATTTATTGAAACAAAAATATGTATTTCTTGTTAATGGCATGTTACTTACTCTTAACAAGCAAAGAATAGGTTCGATGCTTTCGACAAAAGTCCCGCAAGGCCTCCGATCCCTGAAGGTTCGCCTGCATCCAATCAACAGCATATTTTTTCCAAATATCATACTCTGCGCCACGACGCTCCTCTGCCGTCACTTCTGCCTTATTGATAAACTGAAGGCCCGATATACTAGCGACAGCCTTCGAAACCATCTCATCGAAATTTGACTTCAAATGCGGCGTCTTGCTTAAACGTCTCAGTTGTGGAAGTTTATCCAGCTCATTAAATGCATTAGCCTGAAAGTGGTTCAAAAATGAAGCTAAAGAACCCACAAAGTAAAGAATTTCGTACCTCATTCCAAATGGGATTATGCGACAAGTTGAGCTGCTCCAATGACATAAAAATATTGAGTTTAGTTAGAGGATCACAGTCCGGCAACTTTATTTCTTCAATGCCGTTTTCCATGAGGTTCAGGGATCGCAGAGTGTCAATATTGCCCAACTTCACAACTTGGTCAAAGTCCATAATATTCGTGCGGTGGAGATCAAGCTCTTGAAGTTGTCGAAAAATTTTTTGCCGATCAACCACAGCCAGTTGACTAAAGGAATTTTCCTGTAGACCCAACGATACAATATCCGGCCATAAAAGAGCCGTCTGCATAACGTCCTTCCAGTCAGAAAAGCCGCACCTTCGTAGGTTTATGCGTTTAAGATTCTTGAAGGAAGGCTCCAGATCTGCGATTTGTGGGGACGACGGTATTACCAATCGATTGCAGCTAAAAATAACAATTATATAAAATATAACAATTCGTCATTGGGCTTCTTTATGGTTTACTATCCTTACCTTAGATTCAGGTTACTCAGAGACGGTAGCTGACGGGCTATGCTCGCCACTATGTCCCAATTCCAAATGAGAGTGTGGCTGACGTTTAGCGTGGTAAGCTGCGTGAATCCCTTTAAATACCCTGCAGCGTTCACTGGCGTCTCGTCCACGCTGACCTCAGACAACTGTTCAAACTTGCTTTGTTTGCGAGCAATTTTGTCCATTCCAACGACTTCAAAGAGCGACGCCTGCAAATTAGCCTGAGCCTCCCGAATAAGCGAAGCGTCGACATTGCTGGAGTCGTAGTTCAGGTACCGCTCTCGAGCAGCGTCCTCGAGCGTAGCGCAAGGTCCTAGCTTCCCCGGACGAATAAAGCTTCCCGCCATTGGCATCTGAGTCCAAAAGTAGCGCTTCCCATTTACAATACCGTTGTGCTTTCCTCGCATGCCGTCATCCCACTCGATGCCTAGCCAGGTGCCCGTGTGTCCGCTTACCTAGATTACATATGCATATACAATACAGTTTTTACCATAATTTCAGTTGGAAATGGGTTTTTTCATTTCTTACCTCTCCTACATAGCGAACAGTGCCATAGTTATTGGCTATTTTTATTCGGGAACCGAGTGGATAAAACAGTTGTGCTTCATCGATAATCCCCACCATTGCTTTGATTGATGTTTTCTTAATTCTCGCGCTGCCCACACAAATACACAAACAAGTAGCAAACTCCTTTGTTTGCAATTTTTAGATGCCTTGAAGTGCAAATTTGGGTTAATCTGCGACCAAGTTGGCTTACAATTTACATGAGCATCGTCCAAAATGTAAACAACTGTGCATAATCTAGTTCTGCATTGCAAATCCCAAGTGACAAATCTCTTATTTTTTATAGAATTTGTGTGACCAAAGTCCCTTTCAAAATACTAAAGGCTGGGGCGCGCTGCCAACCTGTCACCAGCTGACGGCGTTGCCATATAAGCTGAAGAAGATGACTCCATTTGTTAGCTATCTTTAAATTATCTGTTAAAACTTATTTTTTTTTACCAATAATACCAATATTAAACATTGTTTTTTTCGTAAGAGTTTTATTAGGTTAAGAACAAGTTTTATTTGTCTTGATTTGCTAAAAAAATAAGTATAACAAGAATTTATTAAAATTTTATTTACCTTTAAATTTTTGGGCCTGTTATTTAGCCAAATTTTAAGTATATTATAATGATTAAATAGTACAGGTGAGGTCGGGATACCGTTCGTCTATATAAGTATATGTATATAAGTACCTCTTATCGTTGTATGAGACATAATAAGGTTTTTAAATTTTCACCATGATCTCGAATTAAACTGACATACTCAAAATAATGTGTCTTATTTTGTGGTTTTGTTGTCTAATTAAAAAATAAAAACAATTGTTCACATATTGAAAACTGTATGTTCACTTTTCCATGCGCCTTAGCCAACTGTATATACAATTATACGTTTCCTGCTTTAGTTTAATCATTGGTGACAAATTAAACTCTCATATATGGATGCATTATGTTCGAAAATTGACATTTCCATTTAGCTCGAAAGCTAATAGGAATGGCCACGTTTGTTTAGTGGTCTGTTTTTCTTTTTCGCTTTACTCTTTCTCCGTAGCTTTTCCGACCGTTATTTTGCTTCGCAAATTAAGGTTAATTACAATTAGGTGTATTCGCTTGTCCGCTGCGGTAACGGTAAGAACAGGCGTTGTTTCACGAAAGAGAAATCTGAATATATTGTGATAAAAATCATAGCAAACAAAATACAATCGTATATTTTCCAAAACTCAGTATGCAGACCGCGGGAATTTTTTTCACCGTTTACCAGTTCTAGTCACTCTTGCCTTAATTTTAACGCAAAATACAATTTGCGACCTCTTCGCAAATAGGCTGAATGCATCAAGATTTGCATAAACGATTGCTAACCACATGAACATCATGTGTTGCACCCCACATACATAACAGCCGGTGTATGCAATTTTGGCGGCCTGACCACCCGCCGCCCGGTTAAAGCGTGCGCAAGCTTCTCAAAGCACCAAAAAGAGCAAAAGCTCAGCCAAGGACAACGTGCGGTCCGCAGGCAAAAACGTTGAGAGAGAAAATGAGAAACGATTCATCCGCCAGCGAAACAACACAGTCCGCGCTGTTTTGGTTTTCCCGCGTCGGTTATCGGTTCCTCCTGCAATTTTAATGTACAAAGCAGATATGCAGGCGCAATGCGATTGAGGCTGTTAATGAATCCGTAAAAGTATGCGTGATAGCTGTACTTCCGCTCAGCAGCATCGAAAGTGGGTCGCTGATTAGTGACTGATATTGGAATCCAATCTCGCAAGTTACGGGACGCAGCCAAGCTTTACGCCGGAACACGTGGCAGAGTCAAGCAGACCCCTATAGGTAACAGCAGTATGGGTTGAAAAATCGAAAGTCGACGTGGAAGGGGCGGCTGACAGAAGAAAAATATTGAAAAACATTTGCCAGCCTTAAACACAGGCAGTATTGGTTCTTTATTGAGCCATTTGTGTCTGTCTGCGTGTCCTTCCGCTTAAAGCTCTATCGTGTTTCCGCTCTCCTCGCTTGTGTAGACCCCCGTGCTCTTGACAATGAAAAGCACAGTGCTACCCTTACCACCCCCAGTGTTGTTTTTCGAAATATTGCGTCTACGTGGTGCGAAGTTTATGGCCTGATCCAACATTTGTCAAGGTTTGGTGGACAAGCGCTGAAAAGTATGCTTCAAATAGGGCTCTCTAAAAATACATATGTATTCAGCCAAACACAGAACAGAGCTGTAATGAATTCCTGACAGGACTACTTATTATCCTTCTGGTGCCTTAATACAAAAAAGAATCGGTCTTTAACAATTTCACTATTATTTTAAAACAATTCCATGAGCCCCATTTTAGTGAATAATAATTCGAAAGTGCTTAAATTACGGCATAAACGCTATTATGACGGCATAAATTAGGTTATTTTAAAAAAATAATAATTTTAGCCTGGGAAAAGCAACAAACAAGAAGCCTTGGCAGCGGGCCAGTCGATGATAGAGGGCTTGAGGGTGCGGGCTGGTGGTTGCGAAGGTTTCTGTGCACCACTACTTGCATTAACCGGCATAACCAATCGATAGGAAAATAATATCATGGCATGTTAAAGAAAAATGAACCAAACTACATATTTGGATTGTTAATCGAAACAAAGTTCCCAGTTCATGCCAAAATACGCTTCTGCTTAAAATTTAAAATTTAAACTTTAAATAGTTAACATGTGGCAATTTCGGAAGCCAGAGCCCAATAATTGATAAAAAATAATTTATAATTCCTGTTTTAGATGTCACAACCCAACCAAAGGTTCATTTAACATTGTCTTCAGCAAAGGGGTTGACCCGGATCAATAAGCAATTTTCCGATAAATATTTAAGAGCTGAAGGCTTGAGAACATTCATTTTGAAGGATCTAAGGCCACCGCAAAGGTCAAGAGGCCATCATGAATTGGGACTGGGCAGTCGGTGGCATCACAGATGAGATCCCGCGTACGACGGGTTCCGAGTGCATCAATTATATGACGGACCGGAGGCGCTGGGTGGAAACGGTTTTGTTATCAGCCCTGTTTATTTTCATCATGCATCGCTCCTGGCTGCGTCTGGCGCCAATAAAGCTTCCGCCTCTACACGAGACTCAGAAACCCCACAGTCCAACGAGACTTTTCCTCCTCATTGCCTTGTCCATGATCTTCGGCATTGAGATGGGCTTTAAGCTGGCCGGCCGCTCGATGATATTTGCTCTCAACCCCTGCCACGTGCAGACATGTCTGCAGGTGAGTATCCACAAAATTACACAAAAAAAAAAAAATGTTAACTATAAGTAACTTACAGATCTATCTTCTGGCGGCAAAGCCCACGAAGACAACGACGGCGATGTTCCGGATACAAATGAGCAACTTGAATGGACCCTTTTTGGCGTTCCTCTTTCCTGAGGTAGAGGGACGCACGTACCCTTTCGAGCAGTCCACTTATTGGATTCAGCACGCTCTGCTGTACATCATTCCCATTTACATAATTCGGAGCGGTAACTATAGCTCTACTTGGCGTGGCGTACCACTTACCCATTTCACTTTTTCAGGAGCCTATACCGTTGAGGATCTTGGCGACTTTAACTGGTCCCACATAGGCACAGCCTTCATGCTGTTCTACCATTTCATCCTGCTCTCGCCGCTTTCCATAGTAGGTCTACGACTAAATATTTCCATTAGTGAAGTGCCCTACATAATCGAGTTTTTTTAGTTTACCGGAATCAATCTGGACCATATGCTTTGTGCAGCGATGTCGGATCCATTCCAAGGTGCCAACTACAGGTTGTTTGCTTGTTGTCACCAAACGTTGCTCTGTCCGTTGCTTAGCAAGGGGACCGTACTGCTCTTCGGGCGACCGGGCAAGAAAGACCTATGTGCCAGTGAAACGGTTCCAGCGCCAGAAGGTCTAATAGACCCTGCGCTTGGAACCGTGCACCAGTACCACCAGTTGACAGCAGCTGAATACACCACGCAGGAGGAGACGGCGGAGGCTCTGCTACGGCACAGGTACAATGCCCAGGCAACGGCGGCGACGGGCGTGCCACTCTCCCACGACGTAAAAGAACTGACGATTGGAGCTGAGTACACCATGCCCACGACCAAGATCGACTAGTACATGGCTTGAAAGAGGGCCCACTGCGTCTATTATGTCTGTCAATTCAGGAACTGCGAACAGCCCTTTCGGTCCACCATTTGGAAACAGCACCCTAGATCGATTTAACTAAAGTATTTAGGTTTTCATGTGAGAACTGAAAATAGATTGAGTGGAAAAAGACGTGTAGATAATAACAATTAAGGCTAATATTTATGCTCAGTGAGGTTATACTTCTAAAAAACCAAACAAAAAGTTCTTAAGGTTAAATATTTGTTCAATAGAAACCCATTTCTGAATGGTAAATCAAAAGCAAACCACATAAATAGGTGAACAATAATTGTGTACATTTCTAAATGTAAGCTCCATGTAGCAAACACAATAAATTTCAAATTCAAACATGTGTTTACTGATTAATTTAACTTTTTTCACCCTTGCAGAAGGTATTATAATTTTCGTCAAAAGTGTGAAACGCAGTGAAGGACACATCTCCGATCCTAGATAATATATTCTTGATATATATATTCTTGATCACGATCACCTCCCGACACAATGCATGTCTGTCTGTCTGTTTCTACGCCTGGTCTGATCGGAAATTCCGAAACTTTTTTTAATCACGCACACATTTTCAAACGCGCTTTTGTCGAAACCATGAAAAAAATTTTGCATTGTGGTACCGAAATTGGCTTAAAACATTTAAATGGACCCAACAAGCTAGAAACCCCCCTTAATGAGACATCCTATTTCCATTTTTTTTTCGTCAGACGAGTTTTTTAATTTCGTGCCTTAATGTTTACAAAACTAGACTAGCCTTATGATATAGCGGTGGCTACTGTGGCTTTCGGATATGTGAGTTGTTAGTTCTTAAGCCTTATGGGATGGTATATTTACATGCTGTGTCTTATCTTAATGTTTAACCGATATCTAAGTATTCTGTTCATTATTCTTCTTCAATTAGGCAACTCGTCTTATTAAATATTTATATTTAGATTTTGTTGTATAATTGTGTTGTTTTTAGGAAAAGTAGTGTTTTTCAATGTTTTCTGGGTTTAGAAAGGGCAAGGTGGTGTTGGTGTTCCACCCGTATATATTATTTTTCCATTCTATCAGGGTGATACTTTTTAAATTAAACTTCCATTTAACAATTAAAAAATTCAAAAGACACTCTTCTTAGTTTGAAAATATGGAATCTCCGGAGGCGCCTTGTAAAACAAACCATTATAATCTGATAAATTATTTAAACTGTGTATAATTTTTGAAGTCGATTGCTACACGAAATTTAAAAATTACACTTTTTTTGAGTGAAAGTTTTGAACGTATAGGAATCTAGTTAGTATAGATAGTAGTATAAGTAGTCGTTGTAGTATCTAAGAATAGGAGTAAGGGATGGGCTTTGAAGTCCTTATAACTTCATCAATTTGCCTGGAATCGGCTTTAAATTAAAAAAAAAATTATATTTTGTGACAATAGGATTTATGTATAAAACATTTTTGATGAATACATTCCGGAACAATGACAATACGAATTTTATGGCTAGAACGACAGTTCCGGCGATAACCTTAAAGGCGCACCTCTGTTGTACGACGAGAATCAGCTGTTTAATGTTTTGGTGGCGCGATCTAGTTCCAGCTCCGACAAGTTGACTCAACGTGAGTGACGCCGCACCGCGCATTGAATTCCGCTGATTTTGGAGAAAAACGTGTTTAATAACTACCAGATCATTGAATCAACGAAAGGATCCACCTCCGAGCAGAGTTCACAATAATTTTTTTGAAAAACCAAACGAGTTAAAGAAGAAAAAAATCCACCAAGTGGTTTCCATGTGCGTTGCAGAAAATACCAAACCTGCAGCTGGAAAAGTGCTCAATCAAATGAAAAGGGCAGTTCTTTGGCCCTCATTTTAATTTTAATCTAATTTGATAACAATAGGCGCAACTGTGCTGAATACAAATTCAATTGAAGGAGCGCCCTGGCTGCGAAGTTGTCGTCGCCAATTCGAGCAAGAATGAACCCTGTGCTGGTGTGAGTCCGTGGCCGTGAGTGTGTGGGTTTGCGAACGCTGAAGATGCGCGAAAACGTCAATTAATTGTAGCAACAACAACCACAGGTCGCAGACAACTGGGGGCCAAAAGGTGCGAATGAGGCGCAAGAAAAAAAAAATCAATAGGAATAGAATGCAAAACGCCGGGAATCGACGAAGAGGAACCAAGTAAAATGTATCAATACAGTGGAGCCGACAAGCAAGGAACCACCCAAACGCCCGCCGCAGGAGCCCCGAATTCAACGCTACAAATATCGCAAATTCGAAATAATATCCCTTCGGCGTCGTCCACGCAAATAACGCGTTGCATACGCGGAATTGCGTAACTCATAGCAACGCAGTGCGCGAATCCGAATCCCCGCGACAACAACAGCAACAGCTGAAAGTAACTACATAGCTTCGCCAGAACAAAGTTCGTGGTCAGAGTCTCATCTCTAGCCGAGTGCCCGAGTGCGTGTATGCGCGTCTCTGTGCTCGTGTTTGTGTTTATTTTTGTGTAATTTCTTGCCAACAACAAAAATGGCCGCGGCAACAGATGGATCTGCAAGGGCGGCCGCAGCAGCAGCGTCGACGTCCCCCCGGACTTCAGCATCGGCAGCATCCAATGGCAGCGGGATGGGGGCCAAGCATGCCCCTTCCGGTCCCTCGGCGGTGGCTGCGGCTGGAGCCGCCTCCTCCCCCGCCGGCCTGCCCGCCTCAGTGTCTCATTTCTACTACAAACATGGCCTCTTCCTGTCCAGCTACCCGACGTGCGCCTCCAGTATTGCCTTCATGGCGATTTTGCTCTCGTGGTCAGTGTCAAGTCTGCGATCGCCGGCCGCGTTACATAATAATTTGGTGCTCGTTGGAGTGGAGGGGTTGCAAGAAACAATTCTCAATCAATGGATGTGTCAGGATATGGTTCACACTGCTGCGTGTGCTGCAGATAGAGTCTTTTCGAATAAGAAGCCAAAGGAACTTTCATACACTTCCATAATAGTTCTTTGATTTTTTTGCTCAATCACACCAAAAATAAGCATCAGGTGGCCAAACTTCTTACAAGGTCTTAGATAGGGCATACAATTTAAAAAAGGGTTTCTGAAGAAATAATATTAGGCAAAAGTTATTCAGACACACTTTACAGAAGGGTATTTCAAGTTCCTTGTACCGACAGACTAAGAGTGCTTGCGCTTTGATAATAGCGGTGATAATCAATCGAATTTTTTAAGCCCGCTCGCAGGCGCTTAACATGCGTCATTTATACTGTGGGTATATGTACTTGTATTCTAAAAAATTGCATAAATAGATCGGTGTCTTATCAGCAATATTTAGTTTTATTTTAACTTGGCTTGCAAGAGTAATTTTTCACCTATGAACAGATTATATATGTTATATATACTTTTAATTCTGATCCAATATGAAACATTTTCGAGTTTATTCTTTTATGGACTATCTTTTCAATTGGTAACTTAAAGGACACCCTTTCTATACCCCAAAAGATCTCAAAACTATTTTAAGATATGGCTTTAATGTTTAACGCTTTAATAAAATCTGTTTTATTTTTATAAAAAAATGATTTACAGTTTTAAATAAGCGATGTCTAGAGTCTAGACTGGTTACTCAGACAAAAATATTCCGTGCATAGATTTAATATGAAATGATTAAATAGAACGGTGTCACAATCTCATTGTTGTATTCGTTTCAAAAATTTTGTTGTTGGGAATCTTAATTGTCGACTTGGAAAATCCTAAACGAATCACAAAATGTAATCCTAATATTCATAATTATTCGCACTTTAGGCGAATGAATCAGATCCATGAACCGATAAACGAAGAAATTTATATTTGGCGCTTTGTCGATGTGTCATTCTGCATTGTGGAAACAACCTTTTCCCTCATCAGGCTAGTAGATTTTAGGAAACCTAATCGGTTAGTGATAATAAGGCTTCAGAAATCTAAGCAATCACGAGAAAGCCGATTTATTTGCTTGGAAAAAAGATCGAGGCAGCGACAATATGGGCTGCCTGATATATTAAATATATATGAGAACACGCCTCCCGCCTTCTCCGAGTGTTCAATGTAAACGTACAAAAACACATAGCAGTTGAGATAGGTCACCGGTTACTCAGGCAATCTGCGTTGTCAACCGGCGGGTCTATAAGCGTGATCTGCAGAACCGATGGCTGTCGTATCAGAAGCGCTATGTTTTGGCAGGAGCCGGGGTGGCTTTGTAGCACCTATCAGCGCGCTTATCGGCCGCTGGCTGAGGCAGTTCTGTTGCTGGTGTGCTGGCAAATGCTCGATGGCCCGATGACCTTGAATACAGAAAGCGCGAGCTGCAGATAGATTGTGGATTCAAAACAATATGGATCGAAATAAAATATAATATGAGCAATTAGGCAGGTGGCTGATCTACCGCCACGCGTTAGGTGACGAGAAAACACGCGCCAGTCCAAAAATAGCAAGTCAGAAAATTACCCTAGCACTTTATAATCTATCTCTCTCTCCTACTCCCTCGCAGTTACCCTCTGATCAACATACCGCTGCCCGGGACAATACCAACAAAAATAGTGCTGCCCTATGAGCCGGAGACCTTGACGACTTACAACTTGAGTGGCTCAAGTGTGACCCCAACAACGCCCCCAGCCAAAGCAGGCGAAGCCCCCGGTACCGCGCCACCCATCAATGTTACCGCTTCTGACCGCGGCCTGCCTCCACTTCTTCCATGGGCGCAGACTAGTCCCGCCTTCTTCTATGTGCAACAGATAACTCTGCGTGCCAGTGTGCTGCCCTGGACAGAGGGGATGCAGCTGATGGATGCGTTTCGAGCGCCACTCTACGAAGTATTCAAATTGCTCGAAATTGTGCGCAATCACCAGAGTAGTGAGAAGTGAGTATGGAGGTATACCCAGTTCCCGCCCCAAGCAGATTTACTTACTTCCCTTTCACCCACACAGCCAACGCACTCTGGAACACAACTGCCTGCATGTGGAGAACGTGAAACGCGGGGCTCATGGGCAACTGGATCAGATCTTTCCGGAATACGGCTGCCTCTTGCTCTCGCCCGCCAATCTGTGGACGCAGAATTCCCAGAACTTCACTCGGGACACGAACATTCTGAACACTGTGTTTCAGTATCATGTAAGCTAATTTGCCGCGTCGGCATCTGATTGATGTGGAGGCTCCCGAGCATAATCCTCGAAAACTATTTACTATTTGGATTTTGCCCACATTCTGCCAAGCACTCACGGCCGCCAATTAAGCTGAGTGCTTTTTGTTATGCGACTCTCCAAGTCCAGACTATCAGCCAGACCTTTCGTACTTTGCATGTATGCAGCTTGTGTGTGCGGCCGAGCTGTCTAGCCAGATTGGTTTTAAGTTAATGAATAGGCTGCCTAACAGCGCGCACTAGGGCGGTGCATATGTATTGCCTATGCGGTTGCATATTTGCCAGTTTAGGTTATAAGTATTATACTTTGGGGGAAATTAACTAGCTATTTTATCATATTAATAACTCAATCTGTTACATCCCTTCTAAAAACATTACTTTCCAATTAGCATCCTTAAATTATACCTATTTCACTGAGGTGCTTGTGTAGAAACATTTACCAATTTCAGTCGAGAAGAGATCCAGTGTTCGGCCTTCTATTATACGCACAAGCACTTATGTGTATGAATAATACTGAATTCGTTGAATATTTAACTACATTTGCTATATCACTCCGTCCAAGAAAATGATTCACACAAAAAAAGATTAGGTTTAGCTTTTCGTCATAAAATAACTTCGTTATCTAGTCAAAAGTTACCTTAACCCAATCTCCCTGATCTTAGCCCCTGCGCCTTATTCTTCAAACCCTCTATTTTTCTAAACGGAAAAATGATAAAGAGCGATCTAATGCTCATGATAGTGGCAAAGTTCAAGGAAATTGGTAAATCGGAGAAATACTCCTCGAAAGATAACGATAAGAATGTGGATAATAACCCAGAATACAGCGATGTATGATTCTCATGCAGACTACCAAGTTTTGACAGGTTCCTGTAAACTTATGTACCGTGATGGAAAGTGTAAATAATTTTATTAATATTTCAACCCTTTTTCAGAATCTACAAAAATCTAAAGTTTCCACCGCGGAAATGCTTTTTGGGCTGCCCATGCAGGACACTGGATTCAAACGCTACCCACTCCGAGCTCGCTCGCGTATCATCCAATACGCCCTTACGCTGGTTCTTAAGCATAACGACGTAGAGTACCTGAACACTTTGAAGGAGAAGCTTCTTAGTCACTATCCCCCTCTGCCAGTGCCTCCGTCTGCCTCCGCCTCCGCGTCGCAAGAGCAAGAGCAGTCTACGATAACCTATATATTTTACCCGGCCGAGTACAGAATGTGGGAGCTGGTGCCCTACACCGTGGCCTTCGTGCTGGTGTTTGCATATGTATATTTTTCGGTGCGCAAGATTGATGTCTTCCGGTCCCGCTTCCTACTGGCGTTGTGCAGTGTTTTCACCACGGCAGGCAGCCTGGCCATGTCACTGGGACTATGCTTTTTTTTCGGGCTAACCATCTCGCTGCAGTCAAAAGACATCTTCCCATACCTGGTCATATTGGTGGGCTTGGAGAACAGTCTAGTTATAACCAAGAGCGTAGTGTCCATGGACGAAACCTTTGACGTAAAAATCCGTATAGCTCAGGCCTTGAGCAAAGAGGGATGGCACATTTCGAAGACGCTTCTCACGGAGATCACCATTCTGACTATTGGCCTCGCCACTTTCGTGCCAGTCATCCAGGAATTCTGTATCTTTGCCATAGTCGGCCTGCTCTCGGACTTCATGTTGCAGATGCTGCTCTTCTCCACAATTCTGGCCATGAACATTAAGCGGGCCGAGTACACGGCGGAAGCCAAACACCTGCCTAAGATGATGCTGAGCTGTACCCAGGGATCAGGTCGCCAGGATTTCCGCTTTTTCGGGGCCGCCTCCGTCACACCTTCTTACATGCCTGGGACTTTCCAGCGATCACAATCGCACCCCAAACTTTGCTTTGCGGATGCTGCAGTCGTTAGTGAAAGGACGAGTGTAGGCAACGGCCACTCTGCGCAGGAGCAGCGCATCCCAAAGCGCATAAAGATAGTCAACTTTTGGGCACGAACTCGGTTTTTCCAACGCGCGTTCATGATCTGGATGATCGTGTGGATCTGTTCAATAGTGTACAACTCGGGCTGCCTGGAACAGCTTTTTAGCTTGGAAAATAATGGAACTCTGACAGCCACATTGGAACTACAGAGGCGCCTCCAAGCAGGCCGCGGGGCTGTCAGTAGCTTCTTTCAGGGATGGCAGGCTGAGGAGCAGCGCACATCTTCAAATCCGCTCAGTAGCAGTGCGTATCTAACTCCAATGGACCCTGGCGCGAACGAGATCAATGAAACAGCCGAGGAGCTGATGCGGCTCCGATACCCCAACTTCGATCTCAACTACTTCCTATCCAATTTTCACTGGGCCGCGATCATGAAGCAATACAACATCTCCTTGTCTGGGCACTACGTGACTCTGTTGCCCACTATTCGTCTGAGCCACGCCATTGCGCCAGAGCTGGCCACGCTGCTGCGCAATCCACAGGAGCAGCTTCAGCAAAACTTCCAATGGAAAGCCCTAGCCGCCGCACTGGACCCTTTGGACTTCAACGACGACGACGTGCGACGAGAGTCACCTATGGTGATGCCTGGTGGAGTGCCGCTGGTGCCGAAGAGTCCAATGGAGATATTCTTTGCCATCCTGTTGTGTTGCATCAGCATTTTCGTGCTCTGCTACACAATGGTCGTTTTTTATAGATGCATCTGCACCCGAAACTATGCCGAATGGCGGTCCAGCTGGCACGAGTCAGAGGCGCCACATAAGCAGACCGAACAGATACTCGAGGGCGTGCCCACGCAGATTGCCGGTCACAAGCACCGCATCGAGTGCCTGGCCTCCGATGGAGCTTACATTATCAGCTGCTGTCTTAAGGGGCAGCTCCGGGTTTGGGATGCGCGCAGTGGGGAGAAACTGGCAAGCATTGCACGCTCGGACATGCAGATCTCACAACAACGTCCCGACGGGCAGACTCTTGTGAGAAGGCTTCCCGTATCTCCGGTTTGGTGCTTGGATTACTTTGACAATCTCATCGCTGTGGGATGCGCAAACGGACGTGTGGAGCTCTGGGAATCGCCTGCCGGTGTGCTCAAGTGCGCCTACCAGGAGGATGCCAAGCGCAACCAAGGCATCACCCACATTCACCTGAACGGGGATAGAGTAATTGTTGCGCGGCTCAATGGGCGCCTCGACTTCTACCGTCTGGAGACCTACTACAAGGGCAAACAGATAGACTGGGGCTTCACCTCCGCTTATCGGCGCAGTAAGGCATTTAATACACTGAAATTGAACTGAAAGTTTACTGATCGATTTCCCCTTTCCAGCTCACGTGCGGACTGGATCCACTGGTAGCATAGGACTGATGGTGCAGCAACAACGCTACCAGCAGGATGCCGGCCAGAACACCGCTAAAGAGGAGATGAAGATAACTCTAGAAGGTGTGCGGTTGGCCCACCAACAGCCCATTACCTGCATGCAGGTGGTTAATGACATGGTCTTTACAGGAAGTCAGGACCACACTCTTAAGGTTTGTCGAATGCCACCTTTTAGGTTTACTGTAAGCATATTCTCACTGCCATTTGTTTATCCAGGTTTACAGCCTAAACAAATCCGACGTGGAGTACACGTTGCATGGGCACTGCGGTCCCGTCACTTGCCTGTTTGTCGATCGCTGGCAGCCCGGCACCGGTGGATCAGGCTCGCAGGATGGCCTTCTGTGCGTCTGGGATCTGTTTACTGGTGCTTGTATGTATAACATCCAGGCCCACGATGGCGCCGTCAGCTGCCTGGCGTGTGCCCCCACCTACGTGATCTCACTGGGGACGGACGAGCGGATCTGCGTGTGGGAACGATTCCAGGGCAATTTGCTGACAACTATTAACATATCCAACGCGTACTCCAGCCTGCTTATGCTGACGCCGTCGCTCTTGGTTACCAGCAAAATGGGTATGTGCTTTTTGTCCTATCGCTGACATAATTATTCATTATAGGACATAATACATTTATAGGATCGCTCATAGTGTGGGATGTGCGAACAGGCCAGCCGGCCCGTGAGGTCAAGTTGGACTTCTCCAACCTCCAACTCTGCCCCAAAATCATGATGCTGGCCTGCGACTCGGTGATCTGCGACTACGGGAATGAAATCCGTGTAGTCCGCTTCCCCATCGTTGCGGACAAGTGTCACTAAGTCTAATCTGTGAATCTTGGACCGGAGCTGGCTGGAGCCTAGACTTTAGCTCGATGCATTCACCCATTTAGTCGTTGTTTGCGACCCCAATAATCTTGGGTAACATTAGGTAGTGACGATGTGTATCCAAGGCTTGGCCATGTGGAGTAGCCTTCGTTAAGTTTAAAAAAAAATAATATGTTTAGACCAAAGCCATGATCGGCGAAAAGAACATTTAGTTATTTCACGTTTGTTGCACTGACTGCCTTGGCCTATCCTTTGAAAGTACACACACTTGTCACTCATTAGTTTGAATTTACGGACACTAGCGTTTTAGATGATCGCTGCATACCGACAAGGTTAACGAGCTACACTAAATGAACAATATATATAATAATATATTTTTGCATAACTGTATTAGCCACGCAGTGTCTTAAACGCCTAAGCATAACGATAACTGATTTAACTTTTACTAAAAAACTTTATTTATTAGAGCACCTACGCTTAATTTTCAATGTGAAAAGTAAAACTTGAAACAAAATAACCGCCATTTGTTTTTCTATGTACACTACCCTTCGTCCCCATTGCTATTACACTGCTTTAAAGCGCACCAAACTAAGTTGCATTTAAACCTACTTTAGTTTTTTATACAAAATGGGTTTTCGAAAAAATAAAAAAAATATATAAGCTAAGTTCATAAAATCCCAATAAAACCCTTACTGTGTTATGCTAATAAATTAGGCTAAACAAATTGACTTTCATACAATCATTTTAAAATCAACTTATTATTTTTCTGGATGTAATGAAATGTATTTGGAAATAATCCTCCCACGAAATTTCAATATACTTTTATTCAATTAATATTATGATATTATTATATCATATGACATGATATGATATTACCATACATATGGTATAATTTATGACCATAATTATCAGGGACGGGAAATAATGATTATGAGATTGAAAAAATTAGGAAAAAAAACTTTTATTATCGATTTTTATTATAAATAAAAATTATTTTTATAATTTAAAAAATTTTTATATTGTCATATAAAATTGTTATTATTTTTAATTTTTATTTGAAAAATTTCAATATACAAATTCTATTTGATTTTTATTTTAAAAATTTAAGCCGATAATAACATATTGAACAGCAGGATAACGTATGATAAATACACATACATATTATGCTTTAGTTAATTAATTTTTTTATTTTACAAATTACACTTGCGACCCATTATTATACATTAATCTACAGTAATCAATAAGAATGAAAAGCATACTACCACTAACCATACAGTGATACTACATACTCTAACTGGCTATTTAAAATTTTCACCGCGACCTTTGTTCTCAATATATTTGCTTGTCATTATTATTAATATTTAAAAAAAATTTTTTTTTATTTTTTCAAATACTTTTATACTATTATTATTGTCCCAGGCTCTATCTGTCGTCTTGGCATAAACAAGTAAAATATATTTTATTTCTTTGCGAATCTCATATGCAGTATACACACATTTTATACCCCAAATGGAAGGTATATGTCTGTAGAATGTATATTTCTGCTTATTTATGCAGTAGCTTTCTCCTCAGTAGAGATATTTAAATTTGTTTTGAATTTTTGATTTTTAAAACCAAAATTAAAAATACTTTATATACATGATTTTTAAAATAGAAATCAAACATAATTTTTATATTTGAATTTTTTAAATAATAAAAATCTAATATTTACAGTCCCTGATAATTATAAATCATACCATAAATTACACAGTGCGACAGTGATTTGGAACTTTGGAAGAGACCTAGTAGGAATTGTTCATCAGGTCGAGTATAGTATAAAACCGTGTTTGAAATTTTTCTAACACCCTCAAAATCTTGATTTATTTAGAAAAAACGGTTTTTCGGGACTTTTTTGCTCATAAAAATTCCTAAGCGCATAATTTTAAACCGATTTTAAAATTTTAGACGTTTTTTAATAGTTAAATGTTGTAGCTTTTAAAAAAAATAGATCTTTAATTTATTTTAACAAAAAGGATAAAATTTTTACGCAAGAAACTAATATTTTTGAATTTTTGTCGTGATTTTCAGACTTTGACGCCATTTTTCGGTACAATTTCTAAGAAATGATATCATTTTTTACACATATCAATATTGTCTCGTTAATTCTGAATAAAACGAGACCAATTTCATTAGGAAATTATGAAAATTGTTGAAGTTGTAACGCTTTTCCCAAAGCAAGTCAGTGCAATTTTTCTAGCGCTCATTTTACTTATTGAAATTGGTCTCACGGTTTTATACTATACTCGACCTAATGAACAATTCCTACTAAGTCTCTTCAAAAGTTTCTTCAATTTTTCTTTTTTTTTTGCACTGTGTTATGGTATTTCATATGTTACCGTGAGTAAATGGCAACTTTTAAAAGTAAGTTGTAAAGAAACGGGAAACAATATGTGAAACGGGAATATGTGTGCTACATAAGTACATACATGTATTAATATAAATTAGTTTGTACAAATTAGTCCAGGCTAAACTGAACATGAAGAAAACTGAAAATGTATACCGTCTAAGTACATTCTCAGTTGCGATAAAAAGCTTAGAGAGTTTGCAATACCGCTCTTCGCCCCAATGAAAGCTTCAATGGTTTGTTTGTTGTGGATTGATCAGCTGATTTATAAAGCTATTTTTTTAATGCGATTCTTGGAAAAAAATATTGTCTGATAATAAAAGAAACCGGAAAAGAGAAAGAGGTAAGCTACTTTGAGTGCGAGCTTGAGAGCAAAAAGGTAAATGTATCGCATCGAATGAATTATAAATCTCGAATGTACATACATATGTATGGATGGTTGGTATCCAAAAGTATCTCTCCGAAAATTAGAGACTGTGGGGTTAGCTCCCCAATGAAATTATGAGGTAGTTTAACATGATCCCAGACAAAATCAAAGCAACAACTATCTTTGAAATTCGTTTTGAACGCTAAGAGGGGTTTCTCTCTATGTACAGAGAAACAAGGGAATGTGTGTCACAAAAACTCTTGATTATGTGGGAGTAAGAGTGTTTCTTATCAGAGGCATGGCCACCTTAATCAGATAACGCACACGTACATATGCAGCAGAGAGATCCCCTCGCAGTCGGCCCTCCTCGCCGTTCCTGGGAGAGCTTCTGATGAGTAAGAGCCTTATCTCCCGAGAGGCTTTGTGGGGCTTTTTTCAGTCGCGCGAGAAAAAGTAAACTTATTTCAGTAGAAATCGTTCGTCGGTGCTGATCGCGCTCTCTTCTCCCAGAAACTTGAGAAAAAAGGGTGGCAGAGGACTCCGCGGAACGCTCTACAATGGGTTGGTGGAACAAGAAAAGCGAGACGGACCGCAGCCAGCCGACAGGCCAGGAGTTGGTGCTGCAGGATCCACGGACGCGTGTCAAGACGACCAGTGCAGCCACGAAAACGACGAACACCGCTGTGCAAAACTCCACCATTACGGATAGCAACAAACAAACTGTTACGTTTATGTCCACCCGTCAGACAGTGACGCACACGCAGCAAGCTAGAGTTACTGAAATTGTCACGCGTCGGACCCCCAGCCAAGCCGAATTGGAAGTTCTTTTCGCCCAGATGAGAATGGGCAATGATGGCGCTACCAGCACCACAACTGTCACAACCTCAACTTCGCGGTCTCGACCCCCGAGCCTAAACGGGGTCTCGCTTCGCTCCACGCCGTCATTCAAAGCTTCAACCAATACCGCCGGAAAGCGGTCCAGCACACTGGTCAAGACTGAGCAAACCACTGTGTCGAAAAAGAATGGCCGGACTGTGACTCAGCACTTGGAAACGCAACACGTCGATCTGAAGGGCAAGACAAAGCCAACCTGGGCGCCATTCTCTTCCTCATTCAGCGCATCGACGCCCACGTACGTTTCGCCATATACCAAAAAGCCAGGACTGGGGGCCATCACCTACACATCGCCCTACTCCAAAGCCCCAAGTGTCACTCCCTCAACCTCAGCCTCCAGCTCTGTTACCAGCATTTCCAGCAGTAACAAGCCTGCTGCCAACTCCTTCACTAGCATCTTCAAGCCACCAGTCAAGTCGACTTCGAAGCCGACCGAGGCGCCGCCCTTTGTAAGCCTGGGCAACTCAAACTCCTCCTTGGGCGGCACTAAGTCCAAGGCAAGTAGCATTTTCGACGCCCAGGGCTCCCACAAGCCGACTTTCCCGACTGCGGTGGCGACTGCCAAGCCCACTGTATTAAAGTCCAAGTTGAAGCCAGCCCGTGTTTATATCTTCAATAACGAGAAGTTTGACACCAAAAATGAGTTCCGCGCGGGCAGCGCCCAGGACGTGAAGGCCCTGCGGAACTCCTTTGAGCAGCTGAAATGTAAGGTGGAAGTCATCACTGACGCCAATCTGGCCACGGTCAAAAAGACGGTCCGCATGCGTAAGTTTGAATCAAATGCTATCTAGCGTTATTTTTTTTGAAACCGAAATATTTTTTTCTTGTCTTTAGTGGAAACCAAGGACTTTGCTGACAAGAGCGCCCTAGTTTTGGTAATGCTCAGCCATGGGACTCGCCACGACAGGCTCGCGGCTAAGGACGATGATTACTCTCTCGACGACGACGTGCTGTTTCCCATCCTTCGCAACCGGACGCTCAAGGACAAGCCAAAGCTTCTGTTTGTCCAGGCATGCAAGGGAGCCAACGAGCTGGGGGGGTTTATGACGGATTCAGCCCAGCCCAACGGGTCGCCAAACGAGATCCTTAAGTGTTACAGCACGTACGAGGGCTACGTCTCCTACCGCACTGAGGATGGAACTCCCTTTATTCAGACGCTTTGCGAAGCTCTGAACAGGTCGGGAAAGACCTCCGACATCGACTCCATAATGATGAGTGTGCGACGGGTGGTCAAGACACAAACCAAGTAAGTGAAAAGGTTCTCTCCTAGAAAATGTGGAATAACCGTTTTTCTTTCAGGGACGGCCAAATCCCATCAGTCACCAGTACTCTTACCAACAAGTACGTTTTTGGAGATTTTATTTGAGACTTTTACCGAGATTTGACATCCACCAGTATCATAAGCCAGAGTCATTTCAATAGCTACATATTTTAGGTGCCTAGCTTTTATCGCTGTGAATCACAAATAGAATAATTATTTTACAATATCCGTTATCGATTGTTGATTTTTCTTCTGGGTTATTTTTTTTGTGTTGTGCGGTAATTCCAAATATTATCATGGTCGGAACCGGAAGTGAAAATAAAATTTTATGAATAGGATAGCAAAAAAAATCTAAGATCAACTTCTAAATTAAAAACGAAAAGTTAATGGCGTATTTACCATAATTTAAATTTTTACGGTTGATTAAAAAAAATAATTGTCCTTAGAATGAGGGTGAAAGAAGCCGTATATAATAAGAAAATCTAAAAAGACAAAATGAGTTGATCTGGAGAGACAATCAGTGGCGAGAAGAAATATCGAATCCCGCGGACTCCCTTCAAGAAACCGCAGCCTATCTGCACTTGATATTATGAGAAGTCTGAGAGTGTTAGGTCTGAAGTGGGCTTTGGAGGATCCAACGACCAAGTAAATTTTAACCATTTTAACCACGGATAGTCTTGAGAAAGCAAATCAGTCGGAGACCCCGTTGTCGGCTAGCGAACTGGTCATGCGTATGCAGAAAGGTGATTGGTCATCCTAAACCCAATCAAGAATACCAACAACAAAAGGGTCCAAATAAGGTAACCCTTTCGGTTACTACATTCTGGACCGGATAAGCGAAAGAGTTTGAGCAAACAGTATAAAGAGGGGGTCTTTCGCCTCACGAGGGTTACCGCTTGGGTCGATAAAAGCATGTCCAACGTTCGCTTAACGTACTAGCATCTTAGTTTTAAAGCTATCGACTCAAAACTTTCAAAAGAAATCTGAAACTTACTATAGATTTAATTTATGGATTTAGAAAAGCTGCCTCATAACTGAAAAATCGGTAAAAAATTAGATGTATGGGACTTTTTTCAGAATGCATACGCTTATATAAAGTTCGTTTAATACTAAAATTCTTAAAAAGGATCGGTCAAATTTGAAAGGCCCCGAAAAAGTGTTAAGACCCCAAGCTCCGACTTCTTCCAGAGTTAGCATTTCCGTCCTTCTTAAGTTCTACGTCAGTATGAGACCGGGTTATTTTCCCCACAACGAAAAATATTTTCAAATGATAAAATATACACACATGTATAAATGGATGAATATGTTTTATTTTTTGGCTCTGAGGCTGGGACGCACTAGAACATTTTTGCATCCTATGTGTACATACAGATACATGTATGTATGTATGTACATATGTCTATAGTCAGCCACTTTTGCGGTACTAAGTACCATACAAAAAAGCATAAATACAGTTATACAATAAATTGCTGGCATTTTTTTGCCTAGGTTTGGGTAACTTATTTACAATCGCATTTTGGAATTTATATTAATCACCCGATTTTAGTACAGATATACCTGAAGTTCAAATGGGTAGTCCCGGGAGTTGAGGCTCTGTCTAAAAAGCTGAGTGTGTTGCCACGCCACGTCACCCTTGCCCCCTGAAAGCTTGGCTACTATTTGTAACCCATTGGAATTCTCCACAGAAGCGTTGCCATCGATTCCTTCTACAGAAACCGTAATTTTTCCTTCGCCGAAAGTTTTCTTTTCGAAGACTAGGTTGTAGGACCTAACCTTAACATTGGACTTGGTGAAATCAAATTTCCAAACAATTTCTGCGGACTCGGTGTCTTCCAACCTGGCCAAATACGCCATCTTCCAATCGCGTTCTACTTTCCGAAAAATATTCTTTGACGAAAATTGAGCACTCTGCCACGTTTTGTAGGTGTCTATCACAGTAATACGAGCCTCATCTGTGGAATGGCAAATATATAATCACAGTTTGCGTTTATTGCTATGTCCTCAAACCTTTGGTGTAACGTTCGTATGTATCGGTAGCGCAGCTGTAGCGTATATTAAGCTGGCGTCTTTTGAGCTCTTGTTCATTGGGGGAGAAGACAAAAATCTAAAATGATTTTTTACTTAATATATATAATACAGCTTGTTAGTTTAGATCACCTACATTAGTAAAAGTGTGTTCGCCACGGGATTGCCGCCAAGAAAGACTTCCTGAGCTCCTGCCTTTCAACTCGTTCTCCGTTGGGACGCTAAGTCGAAATAGTCGTAAGTTAGAAAAAAATCGTTTGGGGGGAAATATTATAAATCATACCGCTCGATGGTGAACTCAATAACCTCACTCATGTTACGCTGCCCCAGTAAAAACCGGCGTTCGGCACTACAATTTTGGCGCCGCTTAGCTCTGATCTCGCAAAGAGTTCGGACCAACTCGTCTTCACTACAAAGCCGCCTAAGCTGCAAGATCTGTTTATGGTTGTTTGTATAGCGCCATGTCACGTCTTGGATGTCGTCACGCGAATAGGCAAGCACGTAGTCAATGTTCCGTTTCCAGCCATGTTGGTACATCAGTGGGGAGTCCACGACGTTCTCAGAAGGGTCCACGTGCAGCCAGCGATTCTGTGCTTCGGAGTAAACTTCAGTCCACACATGGTCAAAGTGAGAGTGCACCATCCGAGCATCGTAGTCCAGGCATCGGCATAAAAATGTAAAGCAGTTAGCATATTCACCGCAGCGGCCTCTTCGAGTAACCAAAAGCTGCGAGATGTCGTTGTAGCGGTAGAATTTGCTCTCCTGGCCGCAACACACAGTGACCTCCACCCGGATGTCGCCTTCACGTTGGGTGCGCCGCAGCGTGCTCTCCTCGCTGCCACACACGCAACAGGGCGTGTTGTTGACCCACTCAAAAAACTGTGTGTTGAACCAGTTGACCAGTTCTACCAGAAGGAGGTCCCGAATGCAGGGCTCCTTCTCTTGGGTCCCTCCAGAAGCAATGTCTTCCTGCATTTCCGCCAATTTCGTAGAAGCCTTCGATGTTAGATCCTCTACAGGGATTAGAGTGAGACCAGTAGCTAACAGCAGCTGGTCTTCGTACTGCATAACAGAGTCGGAGTACAGCTCCAGTGACTGAAGAAAGTTATTGGAAGTACGCTGAAAAAAAACTAAATAAAAAGGGTGCAAGTGGCCTTTGAACAACCTCTTTACCAGCACCCGCGGAAAGGTGATTCGTTGTCGGTACTCCACCAGGGGCTTAATAAATAGCGGCGAAGGCGGATGAGATGGGGCTTTCGGCTGCGAAGGACCTATCAATATTAAAAAACGTTTCAATTAATTAAAAGATATTGAATGAAGATATGTCTTACTTTCCACTTTGGGCAAGGCTCCGCTAAGCCAAGCCGAGCGCCTTTCTTGCAGTGCATCTCGATACTGCTGCACCTGCTGCAGAGAGACCTCGCTAGGAAGGGTAAAGGCACTTGAGCCCGGGCTTCGAGTGAAGCCAATGGCGGTCAGTAATTGCTCACACCCGGGTAAAGACAAAAGCTTCTCTTTTATAGCCTTGTTCTCCAACCGAATAGTTCGATACTTCGGGTTTTCTGGTTGGGACAAAACATTCTCCAACAACACCAGCAGGATGCGCACTGCTTCCAGATAGGCGTCTTTTAGCCCCTTATAGTCCTCGGTTCTGGTTGCCTCCGGCTCAATCAGGCGCACACACTCCAGGTTGATGTCCACCATGTTTGATGACTCGGCCTCCGCTATCAGGTTGGATACAGTCTGGGATATTTGGGGGCAGTAGGAGGTTAAAAACAAAGGTATGCAAGTGTTGGAAAAGGTACTTGGAATCAGTGATGTCGATAACTTAGGGGTTGTTAAGCAATGTTACTTCGGGGTTATGCGAATGGTTTTAAGAAAGGCCGGTAAAAAGATATAGCTACATAAGTACTCATTTACGAACAAATTCTCAAATTGCATCCCTATAGTCAACGGATATTAAGGAAAAGATTTGAGGCAAAGACTGCAACTAATATGGCTTGCTTGCTCACGATTGCCTTCTCTTTCCCTCTGAAACAAAGGCGCAATACAGGGTAACTCATGTATCCGGCCAGAGTTTGGCTCTTAGCTCTTTTCAAGCTAGATCTAGCCTTTCTAAGAGTGGAAATGCTTATAAATATTTAAATTTTAAGCGAATTGCTCAATACATTGACTTCGACTTGTTTTTTAACATTATTAAATCTAATCTCTGTAAAATAAAATTAAAATAAAAACAAGAGCACGTAGATGAAAAGTTAACATAAAAATATTTAAAAAAATATATAATTTTTATAAATATCTAATCAAAATTAATAATTTGATTAGAACACAATAAAATGGACATATGTAAGTCATTTTATCTAGTATTAGTTTATATAGGGTATTTAGCTCTTTTTTATAATTTACTGTAGATCTGGCTTACTTGGTTGTTTGAAACTATGCAACCCTGCTCGTGTACGTTTTCGATAAACAGCCGGCCCCAGCGGGCTTTTCAACCACTTTACCTCAAAAAAGTAGGCGTCGGTCAATTCAATCGTAAAGCGTTTCTCATTGAGCTCAGACTTAGTTTGCTCGTCGCAAAATAGAACAACAATTCGTCTCAAAAACTCCATAAAAGGTAAAATAAGTGTATAATTTCTTTGTTCGATTTTTCGTACGCGTTATCCTTGATTCCTCGCCTGGTTTGGATTTAGAGTTGTTCGAGTCCGTGTGTATACTGGGCGAGTGTTGCTTTTCGCTAGCTGCATTCGAGTGTACATAACTGACGGTTCTTTTTTTTCTGCAGATATCAACTGATTTAAAGCAAAATGTGTGACGAAGAAGTTGCTGCTCTGGTTGTCGACAATGGATCCGGCATGTGCAAGGCTGGTTTCGCTGGAGACGACGCTCCTCGCGCCGTCTTTCCGTCGATTGTTGGCCGTCCACGTCACCAGGGTGTGATGGTCGGCATGGGCCAGAAGGACTCCTATGTGGGCGATGAGGCCCAGAGCAAGCGTGGTATCCTTACGCTGAAGTATCCCATTGAGCATGGCATCGTTACCAACTGGGATGACATGGAGAAGATCTGGCACCACACTTTCTACAACGAGCTGCGCGTCGCCCCCGAGGAGCATCCAGTCTTGCTGACTGAAGCTCCTCTTAACCCCAAGGCGAATCGCGAGAAAATGACTCAGATCATGTTTGAGACTTTCAACACTCCAGCCATGTACGTGGCTATCCAGGCTGTGCTGTCATTGTACGCCTCTGGTCGTACTACCGGTATCGTTTTGGATTCCGGTGACGGTGTCTCTCACACCGTTCCAATTTACGAGGGCTACGCCCTTCCACACGCCATTCTTCGTCTTGACTTGGCCGGCCGCGACTTGACCGATTACCTCATGAAAATCCTGACTGAGCGCGGATACTCATTCACCACTACCGCTGAGCGTGAAATCGTCCGTGATATTAAGGAGAAGCTCTGCTATGTCGCTTTGGATTTCGAACAGGAGATGGCCACTGCTGCCTCTAGCTCATCGCTGGAGAAATCCTACGAACTTCCCGACGGCCAAGTCATCACTATCGGAAACGAGCGTTTCCGCTGCCCAGAGTCGCTCTTCCAGCCCTCTTTCTTGGGTATGGAGGCCAGCGGCATCCACGAGACCACATACAACTCGATCATGAAGTGCGATGTCGACATCCGTAAGGATCTGTATGCTAACACTGTGTTGTCTGGCGGCACCACCATGTACCCTGGCATTGCCGACCGTATGCAGAAGGAAATCACAGCACTGGCTCCGTCCACCATGAAGATCAAGATTGTGGCTCCTCCCGAGCGCAAGTACTCTGTCTGGATCGGCGGCTCAATCCTGGCTTCTCTATCTACTTTCCAGCAGATGTGGATTTCGAAGCAGGAGTACGACGAGTCCGGCCCCTCCATCGTCCACCGCAAGTGCTTCTAAGCAGCAGCATAGCCTGTTGCTGAGCGGGGCGTGGTTCGGTGGATGGAGGGGAGGTCGGCGCCTTTGTCTGAGCTGTGCCACTCCACACCAGCACCCAACGAACACACCCACGCAGACGAGAGCACGAGTATTCGGCATGAGTACATTAATGTCAGGAGCAGGCGCAAAACTCACCGGCTCCTTCTGGAAGAATGCATTCCATAACATTTTGATACCTAAATTTAATCTTAAGCATTTAATCAGCAAGCCAGTATTGTTGCATTTCGAAATTCAAGTTATCTGCAATTGGCATATTAAATTGATTCCCATTTGGCATTCACATTAACTTCATGCATTCCCCGTATCTATTAATATACCATAAATACTTGTAACCGCTTCTTAATAAATTTAGGCGAAAGCCAAAGAACTGAAATAAAATTCAATAGTAATTTTTAAACGGTGGGCTAATTGGCTTTGCGATCATTCGTTTAGAATGCAGTGCTTCCTAACACCTCCATCGGGCACCTCCAATGATGTAACCAAAAGATAACGACATGGGTTATATCGCGTTGGGTGAAGTGGTTTGATAACAAAACGCTTGGTCAGCTGCGTTTCTGGGATTTCTGCTGCCTCAAGTAACTCTATATATGAGGGTGTGATTCAGCCCGCACTGCTTATCATTGGGCGTCGATTGGCTGCGAGTGAAGCCAGTGGAACCCCAGTCATCGTTGCCTTATAAGGAAATAGTGGAGGAGAATCGCACGCGCAGTCGCGCTGGAAACTAAAACTCGAGGCGAAAACAAAGCCATATTGTTGACTCACTAACGTTTTGGAATCGTCATCAACCGGCATTGTTTGGCATGCTCATTTCAGGAATCCGAATCTGGGTTGGGGAGGGCCGGACGCATTCATCCAAATCGAAGCTTTCTATCAAACCGATTCCGATTTAGTGTGTAGTCACAATTCCCATACATGGTGGTTGCACCGAATCAAAGGCCTTGGTTTAAAAATAATTAGTTTATTTTATTTATGTATAGCATACATACATATATATATTATACATATATATATATATACATATATATTTATATATTAATCGGATAGATTTCGTATATTTTCTTACGTGCTAGATTACTTAGATTGAGAGCCCGCTCTGGATGAGAGTTGAGCCAATTAGAAGTTTGAATTGGGGTTTTAATCAAAAGATTACTTTGTTATTAATGAACCTTCTTTACATACATATTAAATATGACTGCTTTTGTTACTCGCGATAAGTGGCTTGGGGCATGGTAGCTATCAAAATTGGATAAACAATTCAAACAGTTCGCTGAACTCGTTATGTTTTGATTTAAGTTGCTGGAGTGCCATGTTACGGCTTTCTATATAAATAAATATTCACAAATGTATTACTTTGTGCATTACAGTTTTTACAGCTTGTATAAGAACTCATACTAAGGTTAATGTGCATTTAAAAAATCAGCCTTCAAGTAATGCGTTATCGGGTAGATAGGCTTTTACCTTTGTTAGAATCATGCCGATTTTTGCGGAAGAGCATTGCTTCGGGAAATACTCACCAAAATAAAATCAAAAATGGTTAATGGCGAGCTGATTCTGCACCTTATTCATTTGTGTAATTTGTATAAATTAAGAAAATTTTATTTGCGTTTATTCTAGGGTACATGATTTCATATGTGTTATGCGCCTATATAATCATATGCAGAATATTATAAAATTATTACAAATTACAATTAAACTAAAACATTAATCATATGGATTGGTCGCCTGCAGCACAACGCGTTTGTAGCACTTGATGAGTGGCGTTTGTGTTGATTTTGAACCGTTTATGTTTGTGATTAGGCATATAGTCGTTGATAGTGGTGAATGAGTGTTGGGGTAAGACACGTACGTAATGAATTTACTAAAAGTGAAACATTTCCTTTATATTTGCAGACTACAAATATCGTTCTCCGATCGGCTTATTAACTAGTAAAAGTAGGGCAGGGCTGGGGACTATGCTCAGGCATATTGAATAATAAAGGGTCTAGGCATACATCTGACTATACGGTTATAAACCTAATTATATTTATATATATGTGTTCGTATATATAAGTGTGTATGCACATATGTATATGCTATATGCGTTATATGAATAATAATACATGTGATATATTAATCGGCAAACATTACAAGTGTACCAGAACGCATCAGTTCGAAAATATCAGTATGCGTGTAATACTCATACTAAACAATAAAGACGAATTTAACATTTTCAAAATCACTATCCACCAAAAATACAATTAACCAATACACTTGCACTTGCAGTTGCAGTCAAACATCGAGTCCATTTTCCAGTTAAGCAAATATTTGTTAGCTTAAACGCTAATAACGTGAATCATATCGTATAGAGTTACCAAGACCAGCAGACCCGATATCCGCTCGCCCCCATCGGGAGCCACGGCCGGATTTGGCAGACGTTGAAAATCTGTGCAGAACTCAAGTACATATAACTTAGAACAAATTGTCCGTTTTGGGATCCCCGGTGATCCCATCCCGATGATGTGCAGCTTTATAGCTGGATGCCACCCTCACGGATGGCGCTCCCGTTAAGCATTTATCAGTAGGCTTGTGCTTCCTTGTAGTCGCTCTGGTCGGAAGTGTAGAAGTCTTCCAGCTTCCACTGCAGCGTCTCGAACGTGGGTCTGCGCATCGGGTCCTTGTGCCAGCACTCAAGCATGATCTCGTACAGCCGTGGCTCGCAGTTGGGAGGTTGCGGCATGCGATAGCCGTGCTCCACTTGCGTGAGGACTTCTGCGTTGGTCATGCCTGGTAAAGATAAGAACATTGATTAGGCTGCTCGACTGCCGGAAATGAAGATCTGACTCACCGGGATATGGTATGCGTCCGTAGGTGACCAGTTCAGTGAGGAGAATGCCAAAGCTCCACACATCCGATTTTATAGAGAATTTGCTATAATTGGCCGCTTCGGGAGCCGTCCATTTGATGGGGAAGCGTGCACCAACACGAGCCTCGTACTCGTCCTCCTTAATAAGTCTGAAATGAAATGTAGGGATTTAAACGTTTAATATCCTCCAATGACTGGTGATTCTACTGTTAGGACTTTCAGCTAAAATAGGAGTTATTCTAGGGCTTTAAATTTTTTGTTTGCGATTAAGATTTGTAATTTGTAAATATACTTTGTCCATAGAAACAATTATGTAAAAGTTGATAATTTTCAAGACATTAACGATATTTTTTCAAGATATTCTAGCAAACGTATCTAAGACTATGTATTCATGGTAAAAACATTTAAAACAACTGAATAATCTTAAAAAAAAAAGCTAAAATTAACCATATGGTCTCGTTGGGTATTATTTATTTGTATATATTAATTACATAACAAGGAAGCTAAAAAATGCTACTCTTTTTGGAAAAATGAATAATATCCTCTAAAAGTTTTTGTTTCGAATTAAACTTACCTGGCCAAGCCGAAGTCAGCAATCTTGACGATGTTTCCGTCGCCAACGAGCACGTTGCGCGCCGCCAAGTCTCTGTGGATGTAATTTTGGGACTCCAAATAGGCCATACCGGCTGCTATTTGCGCCGCCATGTCAATCAGAGTTTGCATTTTAAGGCTGCGACCCTTGCCTGCAATGGCTAAAAGATATTAAAAACACAAATAAGCTCAGTTGTCATGACATGATAAGCGAGTGGTTGTTGGCTGAATTGCGGAGCGAGAGCAGAGTGCGCGAAATGATCTGATCCCCTTCGGAAATGCAAGCTGAAAATGTTAGTAGATGTCTGGGCGGTCACACCCGTTCGGCATACCTTGGAGATACTCCAGCAGTGAACCGTGCTTCATTAGCTCTGTAATAATGTAGATGGGCTCCTCCACAGTGCACACCGCGTACAGTTGGATCAGCTTGGTGTGGCGCAGTTTCTTCATGATCTGGGCTTCGGCTAAGAAGTCCTTGGGATCCATTGTGCCTAGAATGGGTGCATGTTCGATATGAGCTCACTTGAGTTGTTGGGATGCTTGACGCACTTACCCGATTTCAGAGTCTTAATGGCCACGGGTGTTGTGTTGTTCCACAGTCCTTCCCAGACATCGCCGAACTGTCCGGAGCCAAGTTTGCGCACGAACTTGAGGGATGTTCTGTCGATCTCCCATTGGTCGCGAGTTCGGTGCGAGAGTCCCTCAGTGACGGGCTTCTCGATCTGTGGTGTGACAAGAAGTTTGTTAGAGAATGTCGTCTAAGACGTGAATACGTTCAGGCCCGACTGCCTCTGCTGAAGAAATGGTCGTGCCAATTGAGCAATGAGTTGTAGCGTACACTTAGGCCTTATTTACAAATTGTTCGAATAATGTTTAATGCGAGTAGTAGGCTTGGTTAGTAGTTTGGGTTCAAAGCTAGACAGTCAGTGTGCAAAATATAGGCTATTGGTCTGTTTCCCTTTACTGAAGTGCCGGGCCGAATGGTCAAATTGAATGGCTGGGTGGCGGACGATCGCCTCAACTGAACTTTGAACGCTGACTGTGTGCCTGTACAGGTGGGAGGGTTCAGATTTGGAATTAATGGCTAATGAAACATGATCGGATAATTTAAATCGTGAAGGTGTTGGTTGGCGGTGAGAGTGGAATCTAGTTGGAACTGCTGTGTCAATGGGCAATAAACACACGCACATCATAATGTTTTAAGATAGTAGTCCTACCTCAAAGACACCCGAAAAAGAATTTGTCTATTGGTTTTGTTAGTATTTCGCGTTTGTTATCGGTTTGTAAGGATATCGTTTCACAAACATAATTTCGAGTAGACCAAAGAAAAATGTGAGAAATACAGGAAAATATAAAATCTCTTTAGTATATACATTCTGGGCATTAAAGTCAGCAATGAGGAACGATGTCAGATGCGAATGTCGGCATCGCCAGCTCGCTTCATTGGGCGGCTGGTCGGATGCAGTTTGCAAAATGCGCGATTAAACCAAGGCAAATGTAAGGTGCTTCGAGGAGACCTGCTCGCAACTTTACCTGGACACAGGGCTTGCAGAGGTTGACGCACAGGCCATCGGAGTCCTTGGAGTAGTGCTCGACCAGTTCCTGCAGGGTTCTGTGTTTTGGGGAAGAAATATGCATCAGTAAGGTTTTCAATGGTGGCTCGGATCAGCTCTTACCTGAATGTCGTGCGTCTGGCAATGAAGAAGCCGCCCTCGTCCAGCTGACGGATGCGATAGTGCTTAACCGTATCGCCATCCCGCACTGCAAATGATTCAAACATTAATAAATTACAATAATGAAATAATGCTAATGGCCAGGGCAGTCGCATGCCTTGTATGGCACGCACCTGATAGCGAGTAGTCGTTGTGGCGGCTCTCGGAATCACGAATTAAAAATGCACCGTGCTCGTTCTCTGGCAGTAGAAGTTTTTTCTCAGCCTCAATGCGTTTAATTTTGCGGAAGTACCAGCTGCAACGAAAGCGCCAAACGGCGAAAGCAAATTAGTAAGGCAATTGTAAATTGAAATTGTTGTAATGTGAGGTAAACACACTCCAGACGGCAGAAAGTGTTCCGATCTGCCCCAGTCGAGTGTTTGCCATAAATCGGCCAGTTTATTGAGGAAAACGATCTATCGAGGTTACACTGTTTGCTTCCCACTCTCACTCTCCATATGGGAAGCGGTACTGGGCTGTGTGTGGGGGGCCCACAGACCGCCGCTGTGGAGCTGCATCATCTGGTACGTGTTGCCAATGTGAATGTCAATTTGAACGTTCTTTTTGCTCAGCCCCCAGTTATAATTTAGTCATTACCCGGGGGGTCTGCCACCGTCCCTACACTCGCTGCCAATAGTTACTCCCATCAGAATTAACAGCCGCGGGTGCCATAACTGCGCTTGGGGAGATTTATTTCGGAAGTGATGGGCTCAGGGGCGTGTTCGGAATGGCGATTCCATCCTAAATTTAGCATCGGAAGCAAAGCGACTGAGTCACACTTACTAACAGCGATTTAATCTAGGTTTTCTTTCATCTTCCTAGCGTTTCTGTCGTCGGGCTAGCATGAATTGGCAATATTGAGCGATTTCAATCCCATTTGTCACAGCATTAACATTGACCTTAATACAAAAAGTAACTGGGATCGCGCTGGCCCTCCTCGTCTATTTTCTTTTTATCATTTTGAAGAGCAGCCGTCCCCAGCAGGAGGCGGCGAATTAAAATGTGTGAGTGACAGCTCTCTTACATAACAGTCCAATTCACATTTTCAAAATCGTGACGAAAACCAGATAACGGATGATGACAGAAGCATGGCCGAATCTACAACGTCTGCCAGCCACGACATGTGTGTGCTGCGTCGAGTTGTGGGCATTGGGGGTACATGTTGGTTGGCTACAACAGTTGGGTAGAAAGAAAATACGGCTTTAAGACTGCTGAGAGTAATTGCGGAGCTAATCAGCAAAAGATTCACTGAAGTTGAGTAGCTTCTTACCCAAGTAAGAATCATTTGTTTCACAATCCCGGATCAGCCCCAACAAGTGCTTAGTAGATCCCACTAGCTTGGCTCTTTAAAGTCAGTCGGCGTATTTATAGACTCCCGCTCAGCTTCTTCCGACCATTTTTGGTCCTGCATGCCTCAAATATACAACACGATTTAATCGGAATGGCCATCTACCGGATCTCCAATAGGAGCAGCCTGGTTGAAAACGAAGTAAACATGATAACCAAACTTTACTTGCTACAACGAATATTGAATGCACTTTTAAAGGCATTCGAATGCTGTAGCTTTAGTAGAATGTCCTAAAATCAACACAACTGCTTGTAAAGATCCTGAGACTATTGGGATCAGCATTATATAAGAATTGATGTCGGAAGCGTTACTCCCGCATTCTTCAACTAACTGGAGGCAGGTAGTAATTAGAGGACTGCCTTCCAATGAAGCTGCACGAGAGTGTGCTAAGTCGCTTTTGTTTCTCCGAATACATTTTTTGGCCTAGAAGGCTTTATTTTTAGACAGACAGTGGTTGGCAAGCAGACCAAACTAGGCAGCTTCAGCTGCAGGCCAAAGCCCGCATTGCTAACACGACTGTCCAAAGCGCATGTGCAACCCCTTAGAGATAGAAGTGGTGGACTTGAAGCTATTTTTAAACATGGCAGCGCAATATAATTTGGTTTTGGCTTAAAATAGCTGCTGCAGCGAGCTGGGCGTGTCAGGGATTTTTCTTCGCCGTCGCCAATGGGTGGATGGTGGCGAGGCGCTTGATTAATCTCGGGAGCAACGTGTTTGGCTGGTTTCGGCTGATAACTTAATTGCAGCGAGCCAACATGGGCGAACATGCGCGTTTGGGTTAAAATTAGATTAATTGACGAATCAATTCCAGCGGGCATGTGCCAGTCTGGCTCCGAGGACCCTGGCAGGGGCGCAGCGGCAGCGCACACAGTTTCTGGCCCAGTTGGAGGAATGGTGCCAGCCCCCAATTCGCTGGCCGCAAAGTCAGGCAGCCCACTTAACGTGCCCACTAGAGTGACATGTGCTAGCGGGCCCAGAGAGTCTGGGGCTTTGCAGCGCCTGTCCGTCGGTTTACCCCGGCCGTTTGGTTGCCTAGAATTGGACTGGAGTCCGCATATCTTTGGCAACGGCCGCTCGAGCAACGGTTTAGCCACTTTAGGCGCTGCCAATATGTCGGGGCCTCTGTGGTCCTCGTCCTCCTCCCGGTTGTCATCGGCAATTTAATGGAGTAGGTCAAGTCTATCGGCTGGGTTGAAGCAGTTGGCCTCTTGAGTGTCGGTTAGGTGGTGCGGATTAGGCCGTCTACCATATCCACAAGGTTATCCATCCCATCTGGATACAGCCCCAAAGAGCAGCCCATGTGGCTATGCTAATTGGATGAATAACTAAATGAATAAATGGGCATTGGAGTGAGTTTAAATTTTGGCTTTGCATTCCAAGAGTTCCCCTTCCGCACAATGTGTTGGTCAACCAACAGAAAATGGATCTGGTTACGAGCTGCAGTCTGGCTGCTGCACTGTCACTTTCTCCATAATTGGCTGGTGGCCGCAGAGCCCCAACATCCGCCGCATGCCATACACATTTATTTTCCATACTTAATTAGAAGCACCTGAGCTACCATCGCGCATCGGTACATAACGCAGAAAAGCAGCTAATTGGGTGGACAACGCAGGGTAGGCCACTGATTTGCATAATTTCCATTCGATAAAAGGGGCTATCCCGACCCCTTCAGCTACTGGACCAACCCTATAGCTTCCATAGCCAAACAATAGTTGAAACAGATTTTTACAATAGAACTTTGGAGGACTAGGCTAGAGGGCTGCTTGAGTGAATTTTACACCTCTGAAGTATTTAGATTTGAATCTTACTGCCCTAATCGTTTAGTTACTCATAGTTGGAGTTAGTCACATTGTAAATCAGGTGGCGATTGTGTAACCATTTAAAAATCCATTTGTGTCACAGAAATGGATACCCTTTTCGAATAAACAGCCAGTTTTTATCCCCTAAGCTTTTCATAGCTTGGTGATGTGGAATTTAAAACAATAGTAGTAGCAATCCATCACAAAAACATTATTCAAACTAGCAATATTTTATATTCGTCTATGTAACGCGGAAACTCCAAAAAATAACATTTGCGATTAGTTGAGTTGTTATTGTTATTAGTTATCAGTGAAACTGTATATCCCTAGAGAGATAATTGCATTCCCCATAGATAATTCATAGGTGCGTGGCGCGTAGAGGAACTTTCATTGATGCTGAAATTCGACTGAAATAGGACTAAGCCCCAGCTATCCACTGCTTTCATTCGTTTCCGACATCCAGCTACGGGTGCGGAGCCTGCCGTGGAGAGAGGTATTCGACAATTGACAGTTGTGGACCACAGCAACTGGCCCGAGTGCGTCTATTTTTAAAAGCAGACCGAGCAGAGCCAGCCAATTCAAGTCTAACCGATCGGAGGCAAGCATAATTGCTGGATGGCGCCGATAGCAACGAGTTAGCAGAGTGCGGGGCAAGTAAACACATGCTGCGATGCATAGACGGATGGATGTAGATGGAATAATAACAATGTGCCTGCTCAAATGCAGTTTTTCTAGTTGGCTCGCAACATGGAAACATGGCAACTAGCAACATGGCAACATCGCAACACGGCAACAATGATACGAAAGGCGGGCTCCGACTCCGACGGGCAGGGATCCATTTAATTGAGCCAGACTGCGGGCTGGACAGGATGCCCAAGATGGAGCAAGCTGCAAACGATTCGTAGCACTTGCTGCACATTTCGTGCGAAACAAACACCAAATCAATGCAGACATCGTGACGGACAGACGGACTGCGAGCAGCTGGGACGTAACCAGTTCGGTGCATCTAAAAATAAATATGGCCAGGCCAGAGCCAGAGCCAGAGCCAGAGCCAGACCGGCTAGGAATGGTTTGGTTTGGTCCGGCAATAGATTTGGTTTTATGGAGAAGTAATTTGTTAATGCTAGGTGGTGGTGGTGTCTTCCGTGGAAGAGGCTGCTTGGCCAGAATCGCTCAGATCGTCGACCGCCGCCTTGCGTTGCTTTTAACGATGCACCCAGGTCCCGACCAGAGCAAGATAGACATCGAACACGCGCAAATAGAAAATAGGGGGCTGGGAAATTACAGAGTTCCGGCTGCCTTTCAGCGGCGTTTCCCTTCCCGGGTATGGCTCGCAACTTTGTTCTTCTCCAAACGCTAGTCTCATCACGCGAGAAACAATCTGCGAGAATGTTCGTAAAATTGTGGCCGGCAATTGATTGAAATCGACGACGACCCAACCAGCTTTTAGAGTCGGCTCGAATTTGTGTATACCGTATCGTGTCAACGGTACAAAAGACGAACGAAACGTCAGCCTGGTCATCTTTTGGGCAGGTCCGAAGCTGCGTTCCGCTTCAGGGCCCCGAGAACAGAGCTCTGGCGTGGGCTTGCCTCGCGAATACCTAATGTCCATACCTGAAACACATCGTTAGAGAAACTTTTGCCCCGACTCATGTCATTGGAAACCCGTGTTTATAGAACAGACCCTGGAGAGGCAAGCCCAGCTGGGGACCGGGAGACGGGCGACTGCTTGGACGACACTGACCGCGCCCAGTGTGCTTTGTGGCTCGGCATTCACGAGTACATAACGTTTACATAAGTCTCTTCCCATTGTCGATGGCGCTTTTTGACAACTTTTTGCCAACGAAACTAATGGCGGGTTCTGGTGCACTTCTAATGGTTATTTAATTTGGGGGATGGTGGAACTCAGCTGCGCTCCCAAGCTGCATAATCAAATGGAAAGCAAAGTCTCGCAAATGACTGTCATTGTCAGCCGTTGACAAAGCGTGCGATAACGACTCATGAGTAGTACCTTTCGGGTAGAATGCATTGCAACTCCTCTGAAGGCAAGATATAGGAATTCTGGGTTACAACTAGACCACCATGAGAAAACTCAAAAGGGAAGACTGGATTTTCGCCATAAACTACCAATTCAAAGGTAACTTCGGACTGGACTTGGCCACACGTGTAGCAGTTACGTCGAGCCTTTGGTCGCAATCCGCAGCTCGGAATCTGGTCTGGTTGTGGGAAAATCAATTAGAAGCAGCGGTGAGTAATGCCAAAGCTATTAACGATAATAAGCTGGCGGCCCATAGAAGTAAGCCCACATATTTCCCATTGAATGAATCGACGGTAGAAACCAGGAGTGGAATAGTCATTCGGGCACGTCCCAATCCAAATGTGAGTTCTAGCAAGGAAAGTATTCTACGCCCCAAAGCTGGGACCTCTAGCTCTAAAACTCTCTAGACTAAAAGAAGGAAAAGAGCACTGGGCCCCCAAGTGGATCGCGCTTTTTTCCCCAATTTAACGATAGGCACACAGTGATCGCACACTTTCAATGCCTCCGTCTTCTCCGGCGAGCGAGCAGGTGGGCGGCAGGCGAATTCGCTGGCGCTAGGTCGGATCGCGAGTTGCTTGGACATTGGTACATTGGTACGAATATTTGGCTCTGTTCGCATTAATATGCAAATTTCACACGCTGAACCAATTTGAATCGCTTTGGCCTTGAAGTTGTCTGCATACTTTACGGACTTGAGTTGCAGAGGAAAATTTTGGCATTCACCACCGGGGCGAGGCGAGGTAGCTGTTGGGTGTCCCTGGGAGTGGGCGCTGCCGGGTTAACCCCATAATTAGCCATTATATCGGCTGAAAGACTCCTACTTTTATGCCTAAAAGTAAGGCAGCTTTGCCAAACCCCGCTCTGGTGCGATTACTTGTCAATGAAATTTCCGTTTCGATGAAAACAACATGACAAAGTATTCAAACAGTTCGATTCGTGGCGATGCTCTAATCATAAATAAATTAATAGACAGTACGCAAATTGCATTCACAAGGGTGGGGCGCTCGGGACAGGGGGAGCATGGAGGGGCCTACACTTAGGAGGCTACACTTACGATTTTTCATTTAAAAATTCACCGCGCGTAAATTCCGAAAGTCGACGCGATTTGCCTTTCTTGGTCGCCGTCGCTGGCGCAGCGGCCGGTTGGCCGTTGGACTTTGTGTTAACTGGGCTTGGACTGCCCGCGGCGCTCCAGCTGGTGCACATATGCAGGCGGTCGGCGGCAGAGCCAGAGGCGGGAGAAGCGGACACCGGAAGCTCCTGGCCCATGGCGTCCTGGCAGTGGCACTTCATCGGCGCCTGGTTCGACCAGCGCCGCAGCGGCTGCCCCGTTCTGGCAGCTACTGCCCCCGACTGGAGACAGTTGTCCAAGGAGTGCTTTTTGGTCAGTGGCGGCTGCTGGCGAAGGTGCAGGCATCGGTGCTGCTTGAGGCTGCGGCGGATACGCGGGGGTGAGGGCGAGGCGGTCGGCGATGTGGCCACCGACAGAGAGATGGCGTCCAGGGAGCTGGACTTGGTCAGAGCACTGCGAGAGAAGGGCTCCGCCTCACTGTCGCTGCCCGCGGTCACTTCTGCTCCTGCATCCGGATCCACACAGCCCTCCTTCTCCGTCTCCTTCTTGTAGCCGCTCTTCTGCTGGGCTATGATGCGAGTGTAGAGCTCCTCCGAGTCTAGCGGCAGGAGGAGGTTGGTCACGCCGATGCGACGCTTGGCCTGGCTGCGTTTCGGCTTCTGCTTGGCGCCCTCTTGGGCAGGGCTCTCCTGTGGTTCTTCGTTCGCGGACCTGGAGTAGCTGAGGATGTGGGACAGCCGGCGCATCTTCGTGGGTTTGCTCGTTTTTCCGGATACCACGCTCGTGTCTGCTACCGCGCCATGTTCTGCTGGCGATGTGGGTGAGGGAAACTCAGCCACCTGGCTCACCACGAATCGAGTTGTTTTCAAAGCCGGTGCTGACGTGCTCGTGTCCTCTGCCGGGGCATCCAACTTCTCGCCCTGCAGGATGTCGTAGAGCGTTCCGTACTTGTGACCTGGGCTGAGGGCCAGTTCGTTGGAGGTCGGCTGGGCCACAAAGTCGATGGCCCGTTGCTGGAGCTGCTTCTCGCGCTCCCGCTTCTGGACAATGTCGTATATGACGTCGCCCGAGGGCCGGCCGCCCTCCAGGATCGAGCTGAGGCTCTTGCGCTGCCATCGCTCGCCACAAGCCGAGGACTTGCGGTGCAGGATCTCGTAGATGGTTCCGTAGGTCATGTACTTGTCGTACTTCTGGTAGATGTCGTTCTTGCGCTGGATTATGTCGTAAATGGTGCCGTACACTAGCTTGTCGTAGATCTTGAAGTTGCGCCTGTACTGAGAGCTCTCGCTGGAGCAGCTGCTCCTGTGGGCCGGCAGCTTCATGTAGGCTGCCAGCTGCTGCAGCTCCTTCTCGCGCGGCTGGTGCAGCGGAACGTTTTCCTTGTCAGTCTTTGGCTCTTTGGTCGAGTGCCGGCGGGGCAGAAAGTAGCTGGCGAAGCTTTTGCGCTGCCGGGAGTTCTGCCGCTTCAGAGGCGACGCTGCTGGCGCTGTGGTTGTGGGTGCCCCTGCCAGGGCCATCGCAGTAGCGGTCTGGGCGCTGTGAGAGGAGGAGGGAGCTGCCAGCGGCTCCAGGCATTCCGGGGGCTCGATTTCGCTAACCAGACGCTTGAATTCCTCGTACGAGGTGCGACGCTTGTGCGCCTTGGCTCGCTCCTTGGCCGCAAACTGGTGATCGAGAATCTGCGATAGAAAATCGGAATTCTTTCGCATCGCCTCTGTGGTGGTACTACAGACATAAGACTTTGTTGTTGTTGATGTTGCGGTTGCTTCTGCTGTTAGATCCCCTTTGGCACCATCGCGATCGCTGTCAACGTCGCCGGTATCCATTTCATCGGCGCTGGCGGCAAACTCGTTTGCGCAATCCGGTTTTCCTCTCCCGAGCTGGGTGCCTTTGGCTTTGGTTTTGGTTTCTTGTTCTGAAATGGAAGCAAGTGGAAGTGGTTGGCCAGCTGGGGGTGCCGAAGAGCTGCTGCCCACCGCTGTTGCGTCATCCACTGCCACCGCCGGTGGCAAAGACTCCGACTGGGTGGTTTCCGCGGCGGTAAGTTCAGCGAACATGGCTTTGAACTCCTCGTAGGATTTGCGCCGGTTCCGCGACTGCGTCAGGCACTCCTTGTAGTTGCGTTGCGTGACTTTTTCTTCGCCCTGAGAAGCTGTTCCTGGTGCTGCAGTTGCTGCCGCGGCCGCCGCAGCTGCAGCCAATGCGTCCAACTTGTTCTGCATCTCCATAAAGCCCGAGTCCATGGAGCTGTGGGTGCTGGTGGAGTCGAAGCTGGTTTTGCGACTGGAGCTGTTGCTGCCGGGCAGGCAGGGCTTCGGTGGCGTGGGCGGAGGGGTGTCCAGCAGGGCAAGCAAGGCGTCCGCCTCGTTGGGGGCGCAAAGGTCCACGGAGAGCGACGCCCCTGCCAGAGATCCGTCGGGCTGCACCTGATCGTCGTCAAAGCTAATCAAATCCCGCCCCTCTACTACTGGCTGCGGCGGCTCTTCGGGCACCACGGCCAACATGGCGGACGCGGGCACTTCCTCGGAGTCTTCGCCCTGGGCGCTTCCCGTCAAGTCGCGACTTTTGTTAACCACTGCGTATAGGGGCAACGCTGGCGCTGCAGTTGCTGTTCCCGTTCCCGCACCCGTTGCTGCCAGCGATGTAGATCGCGCCGCTGTCAATAACAAACTGAACGCTTCACTGGTGCGGTGCGCTCTAGTGGCTGGGCTGGGTGAGCAATGGGGATTCGCACTCGTACTCGGATTCGAGCTCGGACTGGGAATCGGAATCGGAATCGCTATCGGAACTGTCGACACCTCTCGGCCTCCGCCCACATTGCATGCTGCTGTTGCTAATGCGGTGGCTGGGGCTGTTGCTGCTGGCGTGTAACTGCTGCGATTATGAAAGATTTTAACACTGTGCATGGGTAATTTGTGATGGCGATGGGTCCGATTACGTGCGATGCCCATGGAGACGGTGCCGTGCAGCTTGTGGCGCTGCTGGCGGCGGGCGTACTTGCTGGCAATGCTCACAGGATCCAGCTGGAGCTGCCACGTAGCCGAGTCGTTGACCGTCTCGTACTCGCTGCTCTTCCCGGCGACACCCTTCAGGCAGCGCGGCTGGCGCCGACCAGAACACAATCCGATATGCCCGGTGCGCTGCTCGTTCATGCATTTGGCGCAGCACAGGAGCTCGTAGAGAATCTCCCCGCCAGAGCCGGCTGTCCCTGTCTCCGTTTCCGCATTCGTGTCCGCCTCGGACTTCGACTCCAGCAGGAACTCCAACTGGGCGGCAGCCGCCGCGATAGACGACGTTCCTACTGCTCCCGCGGCTCCACCCTCCTGCCGAAAGCCAGAAGAGCCCTCTGCTTTGCTCACCGGCATCAGAATATACGTGTTCTTGGCACATTTGGCTTGGACCGCCTCGACAGGACTACTCCGCGAATCCTGATCCTGCACAATGGAGCTCTCAATACTCAGACCGCTGTCCAGCAGCGTGAAGGTGCCGTCCGAGGGCAGGATGAGCCGGCCCTCGGCGGCGGCGTTGACCAGGTCCCGAAGGGCATGGACCTGCTTCTCCGTGACATTGCCCTGCAGTTGGATTCCGTGGAGGGCGAACGCCGTGGGCTTGTTGTTCACCGAGTTGGGGTCGGTGCACCATACGACGGGCATAGCTGTCATGATGGAGCGCTTCGGTGGCGTGGCTAGCGGCTGTTCGGAGAAAGAAAACCATTTAGCTAAGAAGGCTGAGAATCTCGGAGAACACGACTCGAGACGGTCCCAACTAGACGATTTCTTCACTGTTTCGGAAACTTCGCTGATCTAGATCTAGAAACTCTGGTTTCAAATCCTTTGCAGACACAGTCTAAATTAAGGTAATCCCAGATGGAACAAACAAAGGTGACGCGCAGCCTTGAGTTCATTTAAAGAGCGTTGCTGTCGTGTGCAAAGATTTAGGAATACTTTACGAGAATCGCATGTGATGGAACGCATCGCCAAACACTCGAAACTGCTGGAGAGGTGGACGTGATGCGTATACCAGATGACGTCTAGGGGAAGACGACAAACGATTTTATTCTTCAGTGGAGAAATAACTGGACACCGAAATATCGATTGAAAGGCAAGTGCCACCTGCCAACTGCTAACTGCTAACTGCTACCTGCCAGATGCCATAGTCATAACAAACATGTTTTGGACGCCATCTGATTCATGCACACAGAATACGTAACGGACGATGGAAAATTTGGCTGCTAATTTATTGTGGGTTGTAGTATGAGGCTGAATTGATTGGCAGCAATTATGTCACGCGGCAGCTTGCTCAATGACCCCAGACTCTTGAACGAACGAACCAGCGGACCAGAGATCAGACCAAAAAGTTGAGCTTTTAGAAACTGGCCGAGCGGCCAAGTTGAAGGTTCCTTGGGTGATCGTCGATCTGCCCATGCAGCCAAAATAACCGAGATCGGGTGAGATACGATCTGCGCTGGCACAAGGTAGCAGTTCGTAGCTCGCTGAAGAGCCGACAAAGGGGTACTTGAGACAGGATGGCCAAGGAAGCGAAGAAAACCAACAGGTCCAGTCTTTGCCAAATGGATTGCCCCAGCCCATGAGCTGGCCGCCGCAAAGAATGCGGGCGGATTGCGCTGCCGTCGTAAAACGTCATGGAACTCTGTCAGCACCATCACCAGCACCAGCATCAGCAAATGTCAATGTCAACATAAAGCAGAAAACGGCAAAGCAAAACTCAAAAATCATGGACTGCATCAAGGCGTAACTGTTTCTTCGCAATCTTCGGGTATTTTTTGCTGAGACTTCCCAATATCGGCTATTTAGCTCACATCTTTCGGGGGCTGACTCATAGCACCGAGCCCCAAGTAACTCCCCCTTCGGATACTCTGTTCCGCAAATGTTCCATCCACATTTTACCAATCTGAGAGTATCTTTGCAATTTCTGACAGTCTCCAAATACAATTTCTGTTGGCATCAATCTTGTAAACAAAAGTAAAGGTTCTTAAAGCTCTGAGAAGTATACTTTTGGTGGGATAGCCTATATGGTTATCCTGATACTGTCGAATCGGGCCCAAAACGCTGCCAACTTTCCCTTTCGATAGGGTATGCATTTAATATCAACAAAAGTTAAGTATTATTGAAGAGAAACAGCTGTTCCGCCGATTAACGCCAACAATAATCATAATAACAACGCCCGACCACAAAACCTGTTGAACTCGTCTCGGAATCGGATTCTCGAAAGGAGACTGAAAGCGTTTCTGGCCCTACCCGCCGCCGAGTGTTTTGTCTAGAGGTGCTTTTTTCGCCAACTAGCTGCCGCGAACCAATAGTTCGGGTTTGTTTATGTATTTCGCCCTGGAGTTGGGTAAATAGTGGCGCTGGCTCCGCGGCATTAGGGACGGCGAGGCTACACTGGGTAAGGCCACTGGGCAAGGGTCCGCGAACAGAAGCCCAAACCTCAGCGCAACCATCTGACTGACCTATGCTAACAGGGGCGAAACATGGTCATTACAAAATATCGCTCGCTTTGTTTGTGTTTGCAGTGTGGGAGGTGGTGGGGCTGGCTTTGTTTTTATGACAGCGCGTGCCAAGAAAACCGAACAAGACCGTCATAATAACGAGCATAATGAGCTGCAAAGCGAGCGTAGTGAAGTCGAGTGCGATAGCTGCGCCGTGGCTGTGGCTGTGGTTTAAAAGGTAACAATTGCACTCAAAAGTGCTACGACCCAATTCGAACCGGTTTTGTGGTTTCTCATAGCCGTTTGTTTGCCTTTGTGCAGACCTCACAATCAAAGCCGAGCTCTCTTGGCTGTTGCCATGGAATGTTTAATAGCATCCTGCAACATTTGTTGCCGCAACACGTCGCCACTTCAGACGCCGCTGGTGCTACTGTGGCACATCCCACCATCGATCGTCCAGAATTATGAAACCGAGGCGCCTGCAGCCCTCCGGCACTTAAACGCGAGAGACGCCCCACATAATACACAGCTAATTAGTGCAAGAGGGAGATATTTGTAGCCGAGGAAGATCGATGCCTACTAATTTCAAGTTTGGTCCGGTACTTTCTCCGCAGAGACAAAAAGAAAACTAACTTCATTCCCAAAACAAACGCAAGTCCAAGTCCAAGCCCAATCAGCTAGCCAGGGGCAACAGACGGCCGGGCCAGTCCGCGACTGAGACACTGATGGCCCGCGTGCTGCTGCCTATTTATGTGCAAATGACTGGTAAGCTTTTTGGCCACCAAAAACATGGCCAACGAACGACAGACCGACATCCACTAGCAAAACACAAAATAAACCTCACGGGTGACTAAAATCGGTGGCTTTTGATTTGTGCCCCCAATTTGGGTCATTGCACAATGGAAAAAAGATCACTGATTAAAATTAGTGGCAGCCATCATTCGGCCTATTAAACTCTAATCCAGCGCGAAGCCTTTTCCGGAACTTGCGACTCATATTTGGATAGAAAACTCCCCTAGTTCAAATATTTATTCAAGTTAATAAGGGCAACTAGGAAACCCAATAGGAAACAAGATATGTATTATTAATGTTGACTGATGGACTCTGATGAAAAGGGAAGTCTGGGAGAACAAAGTGTGTTTAAAAAGATTCCCTTTTCTTTGGTTTTAAAAAAATAAAAAAATAAACCTTAAGAAACAATATCCAAAGAGTGAGAATCAACTGAAAATTGGTAGCAACGGCTGGAGCCCGATGAACGGCAAAGACCCCAAACAATTAGCTTTGTCTGCCTATCTTCGGTTCTTCGGTTCTTCGGCTCTGTGGCTCTTCTGGTGCTGCCACTCACACACTCTTCTTGAAAGCGATTTTGTTGGGTTTTCAACTGAATATTTTGTATCTGAGTTTTTATCGTTTCTGCCTCTGTTGACTGACTGACTCTGGCATGACTCACTCTGGCAGTACAGGAAATGTACTGCTCCGGGGGAGCCTGATGCGAAAAGAAAAACGTGAAAATAAAGGCGAGCGAGTGGCGAATGGCGAACCAATTGCTAGGCGGAGCTCCGAGTACGCCGAAGATAAACCCCGGTTTAAGCATAAGCTGGTGTAGCTGGTGCTTGGAGAATATGCGCGGAATAGTGCAGTTTGTTTAAGTCACGTAAGTGCAAATAGATATGATTTCTGCGGCTGGAACTGTGGCTAGAAAAAGCAAGTATCCAACTGCAGTCGTGTACTCTGTACGAAAACGAGCAAGCCATGTGCTACAAGCTACCCTTTCGTACCCACATTCGCACAAAATTCATTCATATGGCGGAGAAGTTGTGCATTTTAGCACATACCGACCGATAGTGCCCGCAAGACCTGAGGACGACTTTTGAAAGCGTTACATAATCCAATGGCGGGGGCGACACCGATGTGGCTCCAACTAGCTAAGCTGGGTGTGTTGGCCAGCCAGCCCAGACCAGGCCAGGCCAGGCCAGGTCAAAGAAAATGTAGTCGCATAACCAGCGAAGCACGGCGAAACAGTAAAGAAAATAGAAAGTTCTGCGCCCGCTTCCCAGGCAGGTTCCGTCTCTTTCGGATCTCCGAAGGCGGACCTCGAGCGTACCTTCTCTGTCGCTGGGAACACTACTGCTCCATATTGTGGTGCACCTACGGAGCTCTTCCTGGGGAGCCCAGTGCACGCCGAACAAAGGAAACACTGGCGGCCGTTAGAAGTATGCCACTAACACAAATGCTCAGCGTCGTACGAGCGTTGTTGACGTGCAACCAGTTTTTTGGCAGCGATTGGCGTAAGTGGATCGCGAACAAGGAAGCCCAACGCGATACGCGGCAGGCGATTAAGGCGATTGATTCTATTCGGGGTTTCCTATGTACTTGAGTGATTTCCGAATCGGATCGAGCGGAATCGAATCTAATAGCGTCGAGTCGAAAGAAACCGAACCGAGTAGCACCGATGTTCCGTGTCTTTAGCACGTCCGTTTTGAGCACCGTTCCGCAGACAACTGATACGTTCATGAAATTTTTATAGAAAGGTTTTAGCCGCTTGCCAGCCAGCCATACAAAAGCAATTTGAGCCAAGTTTGCTGCCGCGGTGTAGGTGAGCCGCTCTCGCCATTGCTCTCCCGAGCTGGCGGCCGTCGTTCTCTTATAACCTGGCCAAGAAGTCCAACAGGTGATCGCGAGCTCGCGAGCATGCGAGCGCTCTTCGGCGCTCGGCCGCAGCTTTCGCGCTCTTAGATCACATCGCTTCGAGATGAGTGATTCCGGCGCACCGCTTAGCAATTACGGGACTGCAATTAGTCACAAGTGCGTTGATTGCAAAGATCAGGCCGAGTTGAGAATAATTAGCCGCTGCTGGGGCTGTCACTGACAAAATGTCAGGTCGTATAAATTTGTTTACAAATCAAAAATAACGCGGCGATGTAGCGTTTCTGGAAGTCAAATTATGCGAATCGAAATGCCACTGCTGCGCCGTGGTGTGTCTGCCGTGTCTGCCGTGTGTGTGGTGCTTTGAACGCTATTGAACCCGTCATTGATAAGGAATGCCAAGCGATCGGAACCGAATGTGCTTGGTAGTCCGGATTCGAGTGGAATACGTAGGGGTATTCCCGTGGCCAAAGAGGCACAGGAGTGATGTACAATTGCATTAGTTAGAGTAGAGTTAGGAAGAGTACTTCACTAATACTAGTATAATCAGGCTCTCGTACGAACTAGATGTTACCTCGATAGATTCAACACTCCGTTAAAGGAGTCTTCCTCAATAGAAAGATATATTTAAGTGTGTAGACTTACCTGAAAATAGACAAAATTACAAAAATTAATTAGCAAACAGGTAAAGAGGGGGCATAACTTATATATTTATGAAATATTTTTGAAGTTTAGGCGAAACTTGTTGTGTAAGTACTATTTATAGAACGCTGAAGCAAAAGCTATTTTAGGTTCTTATAAGCTTGGGACTAGGTTCAAGCGTCAATATAAGAGTCAAAATTAAGGGAGTTCTAAGCCATTATACAATAACTATAAGGTAGTCTGGTCGACAAAACAAGTGTAATCGAAGTAATCGAGTAATTTTTGATTATTGTGAATGCGAAAATACTCGTGGTTTTTTTTTTGAACTAAAATAATCTAAAATACATTTTATTTTTATAAATGTTGGTAGGTGGTCTCTGCTGCAATATTATGCAATATTATAATATTATTATCTAAGGCGCATCAAAGCCAGTCTTTTTTGCTTCACTTTAATTCCTCAATCTCGCAAAAAAAATTTGTTTACAGACAGAATGGGGTTTAACATATTTTGAAGTTTTTATTTAAAATCCCTTTGCGCTTTACAACTTTACAACAAAGAATTAAAAACCGAACGAAATGTCTAGTTCGAGAATACCTGACAGTTACTGTATCATCCTCGAAACTCCCCAATAACTGTCACTAAACAGCCGCCTACAGAATCCGATTTATCCTTCAATCTACCTCATCCCAACTTGAGCTAGTGAAAAACTACAGCTTCTAATCGAATGTCCGGCTAACGGTTCGTATTTTGCTTCCTGTACAATTTCGGGAATTGAAACAACAGGTCTAATCAGCATATTCTCAGTAAGTTGCTCTCCACAGTGGAAAACACACTGCCAGCTACCGTATGTGCCAACCGAATTGGCAAATGCGTGCAAACACTAGTCACCATATTCAGCTTGACCTTATGAACGAACGTTGCCCGTGGCTTCAACTGTTTTCTTTCAACAGCTACTCCAGTTTGATCAACACGAATTCGGACGACCCATAATGCATATTTTTGAGAATATCCCGGTTGAATGAGTCGACTCCCAACAAAGCTTTCCTTCCCACTCTTTGTTTGTTATTATTTTAACAACTGCCTTCTATTGAACATTGTTTAATATGCCACACCATCGAAATATGTATACACGTCACATGATTCAAAATCAAGCGATGAATTAAATCGGGTCTCCATGCATGCAGGGATTTGTAAAGAGCTCGGTCGGGCTGGTAAGGCCCAGAGTAATTGGCGGAGTAATCCTCGCGGAGTTCAACGACCTTCTCTTGCGACATGGCCGATAAAAGAGGCACTTGTAGTACGACGATGTTTTCACCATCAATAGCTTAGCTTACACTGCGCCAAAGCGATGGCCCAACCGTTTTTCAATTATTCATAAATGGGTATCAGCAGCCACACTATCTGATCGCTTTTCGATACATTTTAATAATCAGACGAGGCAAATCAATATGCATACAATGAATTAGTGCCACTGACATTGAAATCTGCCAAAAGCAAAAATCGCACAAATCGGAACAAAGCTCAGGCGGCGACAACAGCACTGTGGGAGGGGCGGGCGGGCGTATCTTAATTGAGCGTTGCGTCAGGTGTCGTCTTCCGTGTCGGAAGATTGAGGATTATCCAATATAAACAATCGAGGGAAACGAAAACAAACAAGTCGGTAAGTGTACACATGTAGTGCGCACATCACAGCCAACTGTCGCAGTGATAGTGAGTGACTCTTCAAAAAGTACAACTGCTCAAATATAAATCTAAAATTCGACTAAAGCTTGCAATGGCTCTACGCTTCTGGGGTTTTAAGTGCTTGGGCAGAGGCAGAAAGTTCTTTACCGACCAATGATACTCAGTAATCCTTGTAGCAAACTAGCTATTTAATATATTATAAAAGCCATTGAGTGCCATTAAAACTGAATATCTTTATTTCAAGACACACTGAATAATCGCAAAAGGGTCCCAAAAGGAAGTCCCTTATACTTCGCGAATACCGCGCAAAAAATTCGGATTTTGGCGATTGAGCTGATTTGCGAATAAGTGTTTTTCGCTGGTGATTTATGAGAGGAGCTGGATTCGAATAAAAATAGGATTAATGGATTTTTGGGTTTGTGGGTGGTTTTGTATACGTTTTGGGTTAACGAACTAGGCAGAACTTCCTATCGGATACTGGAGCCCCGCACAACATCTTGATGAGATTGCTCATTGGCAGTCTAGGGGGCAGTGTGACATCAAAGCATATTATTAGCTATTTATGACCACTTGGGAATTTACTGCCGAAACGTTCCACACATTGCAATCGGTTCTCCTTACTAGCATATTTTTAATCAACGGAAGCAAACCAAGTTAAACAAGACAAACAAATCACCACTTCAGTCGCAAGCCCGTGTATTTCCCAAAAAAATTTCACCTGAATCAAAATCGAGATTCAACCTCGGCTCTGGCGAATTCTGGAAAAACATCGAACCTCGACTGCGTTGACGTCACTGCATTGTAGCCGTCTGCGCTTGCCAGACGTAGGGTTTGAGATGATTGAAATGTACTCAAGTCTGTACTCAAATTTGTCCAGCAGAAGGCCATCGAAATCCTACGGATTCAGTTAGAAGGACCCTCAGAATGGAACACATAAACATATATAAGCAGTACTGGTTCAGATTTGGGTAACTTTGGGTAAATTTGGGTAAATTTGCATCTGCACGAGTATAAACAATATGTAATGCGCAGAGGCATCTTGCATGACCAACAGAAATCGAAAACCATATCGGGGAACGCGACAATAAGACTTCTCGGAAAAATAAAACTGTTCAAGTGGCGGTCCTTAAGGCGAAGAAAGAAGAAAGCACAGTTAAATGAACGACAGCAGTATTTACTGCATGGCAAATACTCTTAAATAAAATGGATTGAACGAGAGCTGATTGTAGCTGGCTCGGGGTTCCGTGGCCCAGCTTGCTACTTACCGGTTACCACTTAATGCTGATTTATGCATATGGGTAAGAGTCCAAGGCAAGCGGATAACAATTGCCCTCAATTAGGTTAAAATAATATCACCGTTTGGGGTGGGGTTTTCGGGTGTAACATGGGCTGGGATGGCCTTGAAACCAAAGAGGCGAGAGTCCAGGCGTTAGGAAACGCTACATGAAGTGCATGCTTATGCACTTGGCCCACGCCAAGTCCACGGACCTGAGGGCTCTCACCCAGCATGTAGTAGCCCACTGCCCGACTGCACAGCAAATGCCAGGGCAACCCGGGCAAGATAAATGTAATTAATGGCTTCAATGATATTTATTTTTGTTGGCGACCGCTTTACCGGTTTTTGAACTTTTCCCTACGCCCAGGCCCAGCTCCATCGCAGCATCAGACGAGTCTCTTGAAGCTTGAATTTACGCAGCTGTTTCTTTTCTCTTTCAAATATTTCGATAAAGTTTCATTCCAAGTATGTGAAATGCATTTGCCTGATTTGGGTAAACACAGTGTTCGTTCGTTCGGAATGTGCGCCACTGAAATCTCGGCCAAAGAAGCTTCCTAGGCAATTAAGAGTCTTGTCTCGGAATTGGGTCAAGTTTAGGGCACTTGACACTGACACCGCCCGGACCGGCCACTCGAATTACTCGAACTGAGCTCGGCCCAGCCACTCGCACGTTTCAAAGCCAGAGCTTAATTGTCTATTAAGCCCAAAACCCAAGCCAGAACTTTTGTCCAAACAGCCAATAATAATCCAGCTAATAAATAAATACTCCAAAGCCAAAATTGACTTCGTTTGAGCTCAACTGTAAATGAAACCAAAGCTGGCTCCAATCGAACTCGAAACTGCGGTTTCCCTGTGAATACTCATGTGTGGGGTACAACATCGTTAAAACTTTAATTGGTTTGGCAAGGGCTCTCGTTACTTTTAGGCGCTTACAAGCCACTAGAAATTCTCCTCCACGGCTATGAGAACTGCGAAATGGTGATGCAAACGTATGTTTAGCTAAATTGGTTATTAAACGGATGCAGTATTCTCCCAACTTAAATACGAAATAGGAAGCTTCGATGCATAATTGGCCAATACAAAATTTCAACGACACAATGTAAAATTTAAAATGTTACGTCACAAAGTTAACAATCAGTTTCATTTTAAAATATCTTTTACCTTTTCAATATTTAAAAAAAGCTGCATAAATATGAAAAATAGTCTCGCTTCAAATACTTTTTAAAAATTTTTTAACTGTTAGCGCTTTTTTAATCAACAAAAAAACAT